TGAAGTTTCCCCATTTTTTGTTTGGATTTCATTTGCCTGTATTTGCAGGAAAGTAAATGTCCAACCTGTGACGGATTCACTTTTCCCTGTAAAGGCAAGAAGGACATCACCACCTGCGACTTGCTCCAAGATGTCAAGGTGAGTGCGATAGTCATGAGTAAATATATTATGGATATGACTGAATCTACCGAGTGAAATATAGTGCGAAACATGAACTTTAAAATTGGTAAACTTCCATCTTCCCCCAAATTCTGTGAGTTCCACATGTACATGTCAGTCAAATGAAAACCATACATAGACAATTATAGCGCACCAAGTATAGAAAACCAAGTAAATTGAATTTTGTATCAATAGTATTCGGTCGTATGGCATCACCATCCAAACTTGGAATTTCGCTGATGATGCCATCCGTGGCCGTTGCACGGCACTTTAAATAGAGCGGCATTAGGTGCGGGGTGCACCGAGGAAGAGTTGCGTTCAATGAACCGTTTCTTGGTCGCAGAGGGCATAAATGACAACGAAATTGATCGCAGACAGCAAGCAGTGCATGAAGACGACTGTCTTGCCAGAAGCATTGTTTGAGTGGGTGCACAAGTTCCGAATTGGGACAAGTGTTGCTGAGACTCTGCGTTTGGGTCAAACCCATAGTGTCGCGACGCCAGTGCCAGTCCCGCCAGTGAAGACCTAGTCCAGAAAAATATCGGCGCATTACCTTCGGCAAAATTGCCACCCAGATGAGTATCGGTCTGGGTTCTGCACAACACGTACTGTACGAATGGCTAGGATCCATGAAAGTGCGTGCACGTTGGGTACAGCGAAGGTTGCCTATCGAAAGAGCCAACGACTGGCCGATGCGAAACCCTTCATATGTTTGGATTGTAAATCATTCCGCATTTCCCTCGTATCCCTGACCTTGCATCGAGTAATCATCATCGTCTGCTCGGACCTCTAAAGGAAGCCCTTGGTTGAAGGAGATTCAGGTCTGACGATGAGGTTCCATAGGCGGTGTAATCGTGGCTTCAGGGGCAGTCTATATAATACAGGCATCAGGTTTTTAGTGGGACGATGTAAAAAAGGCATCGACAAGCAAGGGGACTAGGTAGAAAAATTAAGTATTAATCACGACCATCGAATTACTATAAAATGTAATTTCCTTCGATGTCCCGTTTTCATTTGACTGACCCTCGCATTATCTACATTTTTCATAGTACTGCCCAAAATCCTATATCATAGGCAATCTGCTTCTTCTTGCTCTGCAGACACCCTCTTATTAATCTAACTTACATGCCGGTCATTTCCAAGGCGATGTCCCCATACTAGGAGTGTGCTTTTGTGGCGGTAAAAGTGCAGAAAGTTGTATCTGAACAGAATCTCTATTTAAAAAAATTCTGCAAATTAAGAAAGTGTCTTTTCCAGAAAGGAATGCATTAAAGAGTAACCAAATCTGACTAAATGCTCAACTTGTTCGGGGCACAACTGTACATACACTCTGCCCCAAAAAAATGACTGCACCTCATATGCTTACGTTTCTCTATCTTATTTTCACGTGTGCCTCAATATCGTGCCTTGCACGATATTGGATGGATTTATTTAAGAATATAAGTTGGTCTTCTTTTTGAGATAAGGCAGAATTGAAACGTCAGTACCCTAACGGAACTTCCAAATACAGGCGCATGTATAGGATTGTACAGTACAGACTTGTACAGTACTAAATTGAGCCATGTTTGGAAACAGTTCAGTCCGTATCATGTTTTGGCCATTCTTAATAAATATGGAACTATATCCCCAAACATGGTGTTAGGTTTGCAATGTACCTTGTATATGGGGATAACATAAACTATACGAAAAAAAAACTGTATTTGGAATATATTTGGAAATTGTTCAGTCCATGTAATGTCCATGGATACACACGCATGCACATTGAGACCTTCCATATGGCCTGACATCTAGCAGTTCGTTTCTGTATATATAAACTTCTCTCAATATAAGCGAGGTAGGGCTCATCTCGCCGCTATATATCTTCCGATTCCCCAAATGCTAATGAATAATTATGCAGAAGCTTTCACCCTCAACTCGATAATTTCCCACTTACATACCGAAGGAAGGAACTCGTACTAATCAATGGATATGTTGAGAGACGTATCCTAGCTTAAGGAGACTCCAGGTAATTCTTGCTCAATGCATAGAGGGGATGAAGGTCCCCTTGTGAGGTAAGTCACAAAAACAGCTCTTAAAGTTTTGATGTTGAGTGACTGCCTCTGAGCCTCTGCCTCAATCTTCCATTAATAATGCATGCGGGAGCCATTAAGCCATAATAATCTTGCAAATTAAGAACCGTAAAAGGGACCTGTATAATAATATATAGTCATATGCTAGGTAGGTTCAAAAGGTTTCGAGACTGGGCTTATTGCACGCTAACGGCGAGCGTTACAGCACTGTTGTGGTGTCACCTTCAAAGTAGTGGCCCTGGTTTTCTGTACACTTTTGCCAACGTCTGTAAAGTTCCTCGAAACATTTTTAGGGAACCCTTTCAGTGCCGCCATCGTAGGTTCCTTCATCTCTTCTGCGGAGTAAAAACAGCGTCGCTTCAGGCGCTTCTTCATTCCTGGGAAAAGGTAAAAGTCGTATGGTGAAAGGTCTGGGGAGTCAGGGGCATGTGGTAGTAAGACTGGCCGCGTCTGTCAAGTAACGGCTCATCATCTGCGATTTGTGCGGTAGCGCATTGTCGTGAAGGTGGATCCAATTCTTGTCTGCCCATATCGGTGGTCATTTCCTCCGGATTGCTTCTCGGAAACGCCGAAGCACATATGGCCAAAATATGATATGGTCTGAACAGCTTCCAAATACAGTCTCCCATATGTAGTTTTTATTTGTACCATGTACATTTCTAGTTAAGCACCCCTCTATGGCCAAATTTGATGATTCGCATGAAATCTGGAGTTCCTGTAAGGGTAGGCAGTAATATGCGATCTACTTCTTTGAATAGTGGAAGGGGTCTTCGGAGATACCTAATCTCTTCGGAGATTAGGTACACTTTTTGTTATATTTGCAAGACAGTAGCATTGCAGTAGTAAGACTGCTTGAACTACAAGATGGTACCATATTTCGGCTCTTAGTGCACTAAATTTCATACGTATCCCCCTGCTAATTGTTAAAAAAATGGCCACCATCATTGGTTGCTCTGCATTCCAATGCATGTAATGCTAATTGACGTGGTGAACGAGCAATGTTCAGTTATCTAATTCTGCTGAATGAAGGTGAGAATTCCTCCAGAATTCATGACAGACTCGTGATAGTGGTTGAAGACAATGTCTAGTTAACGAAAGAAGTATACAACCTGAGAGAGCGTTTCATTGCCTAAGCGTCTTTGATGTAACTTACAGTAGAACGTTCAGGCGTTCTGAAAACTAGCCGGTCCTAATCACTTTCGTCAACTGGAGTCACTCATAATTGAAGACCGTGGCATTACTGTGGCGGAGTCAAAGACGTTCACCAGCCTCATTGTAGATTCAATAATTCATGGTATTTATGAGCATCTTCACTTAGCTAAAGTGTCTGCCAGTTGGATTCCCTGTGTCTTGACGCCGTCGCAGAAAGCCATGCGGTCCACTATTTGCTGGGAAACTTCTTGCACAACAGAACGGAAGGTGACTTCTTTCCGAGAGGTACTGTCACTGGAGATAAGATCTGGAAACATGAGCACTCTCCATGCGAGAGAAATATCCTGAGTCTTCATCCCTAGTGTAGTACTGAAAAATCTAGTGAATTACCTATACATTATGTTTTGAGCCATGAAAGGTGCCATTATGGTACCATCCGGGTCCTTAAGGTGCCAACATCCACACAAGGATATCAGGAAAAAAATTAATCCTCCCGTTCCAGTAAAGGAATGGGCCTGTTCCTTTTCCGGGAAAGTTAGCTGTAGGTTTCTCTGGGTCGTTCGGTAAGCAAAATACGCAATGCTAAAAAGTTATGCAGAAACCTGATGGGACGAACCCAACTCATACGAACCTCCGAGAGACCATTCTAGGGATAGATTACACGACTGTGTTCAATCACTTCACGAAACAGTAAAATTGTTGAGTACGCAACTTTTCAGAAAATAAATTATATTGGTTTTCTAAAAAAAAAAAAAGGCCCTCCAATTTATGTAACATTGGAAAGATCTTGAGCTCACCTTCCTGGAGAAACTACCCTTGATACAGTAAGTGCTTCGCTACATCGAAATACTAGTACCGAATACTAGACCTAAGTTGGCCAAAAATGAGAAAACTCCAAGTTTAAATAAATTTTCAATATGTAGCGGACAAAAAGTCAAATAAGTAACTTGCTTCATCGTTGCAACAGAAAATGGAGTGCAACTTACCGTAATGAGAGATTTGCCTTTTCATTAGGGATATTAGGGACATAGGGATATTTGACGGTCAAAATTGCCTAAATGCCACATTTTTTAACTCAGCTATGGTGCTCAAATCTCGCTCAAACTCCAAGGATGTATGAAGATAATGGTTCATCAATTGAAGAGCTCCGATTCAAGCTATTGCACGCCACCGTACGATGAACGGTTCCTGATATGAAAATTTTGCCGTCTTTAGGGTTTTCTCATTTTTCCCCAGAGTTTGAGGGACGATATCTCGCTAACTGCAGACCCAATCAAGCGATTATTTTTTTTTACGGAGTCCTTAGATAGATTGCAATCGCTGAGAATATTTATCGCGAAATCCGAGATCGAGCTCCGTGCCTGGTTGAGTTCATATGGAATGAATCAAAAGTATTAATATATTCCAGACAAAGTTGGTTTAGAGTCAGGATTTCAGGAAAGTGATATTTCATTTCATGTACTAAATTCGCCTAGATTGGACCATGGAAGCGCCGATTATTCATTAAATATGTCAGCACTTTATTCATACCATAACCCACATTTCCTGGGCATTTGATGATCAAAACGTCTATTCCCTGCCTTCACAATGTCCTGTTTCCATATGGAGGTTCAGGAAATAATGCTCGAAGTGAAATTTTTGCAGGTAGCCATTGGCAGTGGTGAAGAAAAGTCATTTGTGCAAGCTGCTGAGAGCTATCTTCAGGAACATTACAATAAGGCTTGGGAACACCACGTTTCCCTTCCAGTCGATTACCACATTCCGAATGAGGCGTTCGACTGTCATGTCCATTGGACAGAAAAGTCGGGTGACGTGGTGCTGAGGCCACCACTTCAAGCCGATATCGATGTTTTCAAGAGCTTGAGAGTAATATGTGGTGATGCTCCATCTCTGCTTATTTCCAATGAGGTGCTCCATGAAACATTTAGCTCAAAACACCAATTTACTTCCCATCTTCGTAAGGCCTGTCCTCCAACAAATGAAGAAGTTTTGAAAATACTTGATGATCCCTTTGATGGTGTCACTTTTCTGTCTTACCCAAGTGAAGACAAGGTGTACTGCATCTTCTTCAAAATATCTTCCCTTGTGACTGCCGATGTATCGACTGAAGATAGGGAAAACCTATTCCGTCAAGCCATTAATCAGTGCACTCTGGGCATAAAATTATTTGCTCTAATGTGCCGCAAAGAACAAGATAGCTGTGAAATTATTTTCTTTCCAGCCTTTCCTCTCATTAAAAGGGCTGACTTGGCTTGCGAAAAATGTTCGTGGAAAATATTGACGAAAACAGACCTGCATAGCCAAGAAGATCTCCAAATATTCCTTCAAAAGAACAATGTAGATACACCTCTTGCTATCAAAACCAAAAGCAATGACATTGCAGAGTCATTGTTTAAATCCATTCTTTCCAAGTACTTGTGTGCGTCTATGTCTGTTGAAATTCCACGAACTTCTGCAGAGTACATTAAAATCGTCCATGAACGAATGGATCGTGTATTGTGCTTTTTGACGCCAGATCAGCAGAAGCTAGTAAATGAAGATGTGAATTCACCATGGCTACTACTCGTGACAGGAGCTCCGGGCACAGGAAAGACAATTGTTGTGATCCAGAAGGCAAAAAATCTCGCGAAAGACTCTACAAAAACAGTGGTTGTGAACCTCGCAGGGGGACTCCTCACAGAAAAATTCCAAGAAGCATTTAAAGGTCAGTAGTTGAAATTGCCTCATTTTCGAATGGGATCGGATGATATCTCAAATGAAAATTTTTCCTAAGTGTGTGGTTTGATACATGATGAGCATCAATCATTTTCATTATCCCAAAAAGTTGCATGTAAGCATTATTCAGTAGCCATTTGTCCCTGGCTTCATCCTGAGCCAAAGTTGTATTTTCCTTGAATGTCATAATTTTCCTTTACTAAAGCCACACCTGCATATTGAAAATTTCCGGCCAAATTCCATTACACAGAGTTGTGGTGAATACTCCATATTGCACCCCCCCTCTCCCTGAAAACGATTTCCACTGGCTATCATTCCATGTTTTCTTATTAACTTAAAGGTGGCCATTAGTTGTATGATGCTATCATGCATTATGCAAACTTCTGACCAAGTAGCTTACGTTTTGGAATGTTTCCTACGCATCATGAACATTTCAGCGCTCAATGACATTTCTTACAGTTTTAGAGTCACCCTGAATTTACCTTTAAAAAGCGGTGAACGAAGATTGGCCATATATAGATGATGATAGATAAATTGCTGATATTTCGTATATGTCCAGGAATAGAGAATATCATCGTGGTGGATGGCAAGAAGGAAAAAATCCAGGAGAACCGTGATGGAATTGTCTCCTTTCTTGAAAAAGAAGGAAAGGGGAGACACGTTCTGTTTGACGAAGTCCCTCTCACTCTGGGACTTCAAGGTCGTTTAAATGAAGAGAGTCTCTCAGAACGCTGGAATTTTATCTTTAAATTCCAGAGAAAAGTGAAAAGCCTTACGTTCGTATTCCGTCCGAATGATACTGATTATAAGAGGGACATCGACCTCCAAAAAGTCAACATCAAAGACGGAAGAGGATCAAGTATCGCAATCAACGTCTTGAATGCAGTGAAAAGGAACACGCTGGAGGTGTCGAAATTATTTTTAGCCCTCAGCAACTACTCACGCAGGATCTTCGTTTGCCAGGAACCCACAATAAGGTATATGGAATTCCAAAGCCCAAAGAAACCACTGACGCCATACGTATTTCCCATTCTCTCTTGCTTCGCTCTCCATGATGCCTGCAAGAACAGCCTAATATGTGAGGCTGTCAGATCTTCTCAAGCCTTACAAACAAATACTGTTGCTGTAGTAGACACGATCGAACGACGAGATTGTCTGGTGAAAACTCTGCGAGTTCTCTCTCGGCATCAGAAAAACAAGACGCAAGTCGGATTTGTGGACTCATTTGGACAATTTCGCGGGGATCCGAACTCCTCTGTTTTAGTTGTAACTGCTGATCAGATTCTAGGATGCCATTTTCAGGAAGATGTTGTTATCCTAGACCTTTGCGGCTTCGTTTGGAGGAATTATCCTCGCATGATATCATCACATCGCGAGAATATCACCATTGCCACGGAGCGGGAAGCTATAGACACAGGAAAGTATTCACAACTCAAATTATCGCACAGACCTTCCTCAAATAATAACCCACACATCAAGGTCAAGCTATTAAAAATGTTGGACATTGTGTTGAAAGAGGAAGAAGAGATAACGAAGAAATTGGTTGAACCTTTTGAGTCTGAGATTACTTTTGCTTTGAGGAGCGAACAAAGGAAGAATTCGTGCAGTCTTCAAGTAGAAGGGAGAACACCAAGCAAGTTGACCGTCATTTTTGGGCCTCCATGCTCAGGAAAGAGCAAAAAGTTGTTAGATATGATAACAAATTGTATAAAGACTCTCCGCAATCAAGAACGTCGAGAAGGAATCCTCGTGCTCCATTTGGGAAGCACTCTTAGTCAGAAGGACTTGCTGGTTCATCTTGGTGATTATTTTGATATGCTAGATATTGAACGGGCGAACATATTGACGCCTATAAACATAATCAACCACGAGAGCGTGGATAAAGTGCGGTGGAAATTTCAGTGTTCAACTGTCCATGTGTATGTTGATGATTATTGCATCCAAGCCACTGACACTAATGAAGAAAAAAAGAATTGGACTCAAGCACTTCAGGAGTTAGTGGAAATTAACAGTGGGAAGCAGAAGCTAATCCTGCATGTCGTGTTCCAATCTCACTCAAAAAGTGGTAAAAAAATTTCTATGATGGAGCTGACGAAATTCTTTGGGGAGCTTAAGGTGGATGTGGAGGTTGTCAAAACATGGGAAGGAAACAAACCCAAACAGTGTACCAACCCGGAGCTACTCAAAAGTTTCTATGGGAATGAGGCATGCAAGTCATTCCAGTTAGGTGTCAACAGTCTTCCCACAGTCTCCCGGCCGGCTGCACTTGTCCCGGGCAGTACTCCTAAGCACATCCATGTGGAGTATGAGTGCAAGGGCAAGCATTCGGGTTATAACTGCAAGGGACAAGAGAACTGTATGCCGTATTTAGGTGCATTTATCTGCTTCCGTCATGCAGAAAGAGAAGTGCCAGAGGGTGAACTCTTATACGTACTGGTCTCAGACGACGATATGAAGTCCTTTCTGGAGTCCTGTATAGGTGACCCGAAATATTCCTCAAGGAGCAGTGACCTCCACAAAATGCAATTTGTTCATCCCATGGATTTCCGGGGATGTGAATCCAGATTTACTATAACTGTGAACGTAGAGGCTTCCTGGCTTCTTGAGAGCTTGTCCAGAGCCCAAACGAATCTTTATGTTATCGATTGTTTGCCAGATCATCAAGAAGTTTGGCTTACGATGTGGGAAGAAAGTAAAGTACATCGAGAGATAATACCGAATGAAGATATTGATCGAGACATCCTTCTAACCCTTAATGCAAAAGGAAAATTCCTTGATCTGGTAGATTTCGAAAATGTAAGTCATCCCATCTCTGTTCCTCTTAGACTCAATTATTCAATATTTCAATATTTCACTTCATGAGAGGTCGTCTCAAAACGGGCTTGTGCATATTTTGACTTACGTTATCAGGAAAATATATTTTCGGTTACCAGTTATAATTACCTTAGAGGAGGCGAAGCCTTCCACTAGAAGTTAAAGCCCACGAAATACCCCAAAACTCCTTTTTAGTGTAAACCAAGAAATGCACCGAAGCAAGGATTCATGAGCATGAAGGAGAAATGAAAAACTCCATAATTTGTCACACAATGACAATTGACCATGAAGACCTTACACGAAGGGTATACCGGAGTACACCCATCATATTAAAGTAAGGAGGCATCTGATCTCACTTCAGCAGGAGCAAAAGTCTCTTTATATGGTATTATAGAACCCTCAAACTAGGAGGGCAGAGAGAGGGATTCAAAAGCCACCACCACGTGCAGGTTGCGATCGGAAATGACAACACAATCCTAGAGAGTGGAATCCCCAGTACCGATTAGCTTGTACAAGCAATGTGCCGTCATAGGAGTCTTAGTGTAGGAGGACCAGACAGTCAAGAGACTCTACACCAGTTTGGAGATGGTCCATGGATTATAGGCTCGCTGTAGAACAGCTGCCTTCCATTAAGTTTCCGCTTTCAAAACCTAAAGAACTTCCCTGCACAGCGAGTCAAAGTCAGCCAGACCACACAGCAGATGCTAATGTTGCGTGGTGGACAAAGTGGCGCAGGAAAATCGCTGCATTCCCATCCAGGAGCTGGAAGCCGTGACCAACATTGGGATAGGGGAGCTGCATGTCACTTTCCATCAGAATCCGAGGTATTGAAATGGCAACTATGACTAGAGGACCTGTGTGTAAATTGCAAATGTATGTGGAATGGCGTCGTCAAAAAGTGGGAATGTGTCCCCATTTTTAGACTATGTAAGCGACTACAAATGGCTGTAGCTTTCGACTACCTCTCCCTGCACCAAGTTTAAGAGTTCTAGAATGCAAAGCGCTGTAGCAGGAGCAAAACTTTCAAAACTCTCGGAACATCATCAGTGATGAGAATCCCTATTGAATAGGAATAAGGGTGATTGAAAAAATGTGAATGCCCCAACGAAAAGACTCAGTTCTCGTATTGTTTATTTTTTTTGGCGGGGAGGGGGGGGGGAAGCTGTGTGAGTGTTTTTATATGGTCTAGTTAGAATGACTTCATTTTTCATCCTCTTTGTGGAGTTATCAATATTTATTTTTCAATTGCGTTTATGGGCACTTCAATTCATTAATAGGGAAGCACATTAATTACCTGAACAATTTTGTGACTTTACTGTTTTGAAACTATAAAACAATCGAACTTGACATACTTGTTGAAATATTTTGCAATTTCTTCCATATTAATGGGCGCAGTAGTGCCTATTAACTTTCTTTAACCCCTTCCAGTGACAAAATTCAACCGTCTCATATTCCTCTTTGAGAGCATCAACATATGTAATTTGGCGTACTTCTTCCTCTTTCAACACAGAATCACTCCAGCAAATTTAAAGCTCCATCTCCGCGGGATTGTGGAGATCACTGAATCTCGGTTTTGGGAGATGTGAAAGTCGTTCCAGATATTTTTTTTCTCCTCCCTTGGGTAGCCGCTAGGGAGGCTTTTGGAGGAGACAGACGAGACGAAAGATATTGACCTGGAGGTGACAAAAAGTCTCTTTTTTGCATTCAGTGCACCATTTCGCCATGAAAAATGAAATTAGGTGCCTTTAATTTAGGCTTAGAGGGATGGGTCCAGTCCCGTCCTCCAGTGTTGCCGGATATCGTGCCTTAGTTATCCCAGATTTATGACTTCTTCAGCCTTAGTATCGTCGCCTGAATCTTCTCTTTTTAATGTAGGAGACATTCATGTTCTGAATTCATGGGACGAGCTGAGATTGGAGCAGTGTTTTGCAGTGGCCGATCGATTTGCTGCAATAGGGAGATATCTCATTCGGACATCCATAAATTAACATGATGGCGGCCAGGTTCTGAAGGCACTTTCTTCTCAGAACTAGTCGAGGAATTCTGGATAGGCCTAATGTTCCCCGACCGTACCGAAATGGCTCGTGAAACTCGTAAACGACCTACATTCTGTCTAACCTTACACGTTCTCTGTTAAATGCACTATGAGACACTGAATAGGCCTACAATTGGCCTTACGTTACACGTCCTGATCGTGGAGTCTCGAAGATCAGGGATTAATCCTTATAGGCCTAATTGGTCCGTAGGCCGAGGATTGTGTTTCTTTTGAACGAAAAAAGGTAGGCCTACGCCTGATCCAGAGATAGTCCGTCCGTTAGGTCTAGGCCTAACGTTTTTGAGTTTTGTAGAGAAGTTGGGGGGGAGGTGGTGAGGGTGAGGGTGTGGTTGGGTTGAGGTTGAGGTTGAAGGAAGGTAAAACCTTTGGAAATTGTTTTTCACATTACTACATGGTTTAGTTAGAATGACTTCGAAGGAAATTGTTTGGTTTTGGGCAAATCATTTCCTAAGATTTGTTGTACAGTGGATATGTTATACATGTGTAAGGCCAGGGGTTTTCATAACACCATCTGAACAAGTGATTTTGGGGCAGAAATATCCGCTCGACCGGCGGACTCTCTTCTTAGGACTTTAAAGTCGCCTTCACGGTCTCTGGATGGGCCTTTGGTCGCTAAACTCCTCCATGTTGACACAGGCATCCAATCTCCAGATATTTAATGTGCGACTCGTAAATGGAGGTCCTCCAGTGAGGAAAATTTTTGTCAAACCCTATTTTGAACTTCCTCAGCACTGGTGTTGCACTTTGTGTTTCATTAAATCACAGAAAGAAGAGCTTTTTGTTGTATGGGAACCAGTAGAAGAAAACAATACGCATAACTGAAATATGTCAGAACTATCAATATACTGATTTTAAAAATGTCATAATTACTCCTCTTGAAAGTGTTAATTTCAATGTTTGGTTTGGAAACAGCGACGTCACAAAATTGTCCAGAAAATGTATGGACATTCTGTACTTTGATGGAATAAAATCCCATTCCAGGGATTTTCTGTTCTTTTATTTCTCTGTATTCCCTCTTGTGACACCCAGCATTTCCCATCCTCCAGGACGGGTGCTTTAAGTAGAGCGGCCTTCATATGCTCTTCTGCCCCCTGACAGGTACCAACCTGGAATGACACCGCACGGAGTGTTGGCGAAGAGGTAATGAGGAAAGTGGAAAAGAAAATGAAGGAAGTAGGCAATCTGGACTTAGGATCGGATGGCGTCCTTCTTCTCCCTCCTGAGACACTGGGGGTCTTAAATCGCCTCATCCCCGACGGTATTTCTTCGTCATCATCCCCATTTCGTGACTGGGGATACGTGCATAGACGCGGTACGTGTGACACCTATGCAGGTGATATCCCACTATGGTTCAAGGAAAGTCCTTGCTCGTTGGAGTCCCTTTTCCTGCAGAGCCCTCCTTCAGATCTAAATCCTAAAATATTATCCAAAATATACGAGGTGTCCCTGTGAAAGAGGTGCCCAATAAATTCCCGAATGGACCAGACTGCCATATTTGAGAATCGTTTTCTGAAATACGGCGGCGAGGGTTTGCAATATTCATGTCTTCCTAATTAGGACTAATCGACTTCCGTTCCATATATCATTCAAATGAGATATACTGCAGCATTCTAAGAAGAGACAACGTTCGAACATGCGGACAGTCAGAGCTTAGATAATAACAAATATGAGATGTGTTAAATCTTTGTCAAACTCTGCAAGTATTTGATGTAAAAATGCGTTCTATCTGGCAAAAGCAACAGCGGGATGTGAATGTTTCCTTTCTGTAGCTTGCCGAACTTCCGTTATTGCCATTTTCTAAGGCATTTTTTGCGCTGGATAAGTCTACTTTTTTAGCTTGCTATGACCGTTGACCATTTTACGTTTTTCTGAGCTCTGCTCTTCATGCTCCGTCTAAACCCACCTTAAGGATGAGTGATTTAAGAGAAGATTAAAATTTCAAGTCTCTTCTATTGTCACCATACTCTTCATAACCTGGGATTCACTTTCGTTTCCAGGATCGCCAGGAGCAGTGCCTGAAGCACCAGAAAAAGAGAGAGACGAGATCCTCTCAGAACTCGAAAGAATGGGACTGGAGTGGGACAAGGATCCTCCTATACCCTTAGAGACTGAAGGGGTGTTGGAGGCCCTCTCTGTCTCCCTTACTGGATCCCTCCTCCATTTACCTCACCTCAAGGTTTTAGTTCATATTCTGCAATTCATATTCATATCAGGTCGAAAACAGAGGATCACAAGACCACTGTCATGGATTCATAGCAGACATTGAAGCGAGAATTGACAAATATATAAATCATGTGGTCCTATCAACCGTAAACTTCTCACTTGTACCCAGTAATAATTGATAAAGAACGTAAAAAGATAAATATAGTAACAAAATAATCAGATCTACAGGGTGGTCAAGGTCAAGTGTAGCGAACCAAATTGCAATTTTCTTAGAAACAGCTGATGTTATTAACTTGAAGTTTCAACAGCATGTTCCTGACATAATTGGCCAGACATGACGTAAGTTTCATTCAAAGTCGCCTCCGTTGTCCTTCAACCTCTTCTTGAAGTTGTTGACGCTGTTCTTCACCTCTTCCATTGGAATTTTGTCCCAAATACAAACACAACTTTGTCTGAGATTATCCATATTGTAGGTAAGACATAAAAGATACCGCATACCAATCCGCAACATGCTACGCCAACTCCTTGGTACAAAATTTTGGCAATTTTCCTGAACTGCCCCATTTTGCCCCACCTTCGCTATACATTTTCATCCAATTGTGAAACTGTGTTTCTCCCTTAGAAAACGGTAGAGTTTATGTTTTTAATCATCCTATATATAGACCGAGGAAAGTGGCATCGTTCCACATAGTCAACTCAAATTTGTTTTTAATCCCCTCTAGAGGAGATTGGTGAAAGTGATCCCCGATTTCCTTGGGCCTCTCCTACATTTCGGAGCAGTTCTCCTTCAGAGGACCATTGTGCTCATCAGAAAGAATAAGAGAAGCTCTTGTAAGTCAATTCTCTTCTTATAATCGTACTCATGCATCCATGCCATCTCTTGGAAAGACCAACTATATTTTCCAGAAGTGTTATTTCGGGTGAGGCAAGAAAATCGCCCCGCTGTTTGAGTTTCTTTTGAGATAGCAGATAATAGGGCGACATTTTCTTTGCAACGACTTCTTCGTTTTCTTTAATCATCATAAAATTGTTATTCATTTTCCTCCAGCCGCTTTGGCATAGGAAGGAAAATGTAAAGGCAACTCGAATTTTATTTTTCCACGAGGAAACAAATCGGCGGAAGAGTAGTTGGTACATGTGGAGCTCACCCATTTCTGGCCAGAGCTCGTCCGTCAACTCGTGAAAATGCTGCTCTTTGCGAAAGGATGGGGTGGGGCAGAATTGTGGAAGAATTTCCTAATTAAGGAGGAAAGAAATGTTGGTCTATCGTTAACACATTTGAGAGCAGCTGATTTTGCACTGCGAGGGCCCAGAAAACCAGCAATTTTCCAGTATTTTCAAAGGAGCATAGTGGAAAGTATGATAATATAATGCAGACCGCACTCGTCTAGAGCCCGACAACCGAGTAATGTATTGAAATGTGAGGCCCGGTCATGGCACGGGCGTGGTCTCGAATGTGTTAAGAGATTCTCTTATAAGCTACGAGAAACCGGTTCCTCTGAGAGGAAGACTAAAACTAGCCAGAACTGAAAGAGACTGCGTTCCTGTGGAAGAAGTCATTGTTTCTGAAGATGATAAATCCAGGGTGCAAAATTTGCAACAAAAAAAGCCAATTTCCAGACATGAGGACGAATCAGAGAATCTGCATAGCGGATTCTGAAGTGCAGAAGAAAAAAGCACTTAATTAATTGCAATTCCTAGTGATTAGGGCAGGTCCTCCGGTCAGTGTGCAGGTGCGAGTGCAAATGTAAACTTCCAGTTAAAGGGAAAATTTTTCCGGATTCTCAAGGGATATGTAGATGTGCATGTGAAATAAACTAAATTATTCCCGCTTTTGTTTCAGAGGCGCCACAAATGTTTAAGGAGCATATTCTTTTTTTTCCTCACCCGAGGATGTTACATACATCAAGATTAGAAGTTACACGTAAACATCCCTACGCAGTCTCTGGGAGACTTGAAATGTGTTAAGAGAATCACTGATTTCCATCTACATTTCTAACTAGAGATAATACGGGAATTACTGAGCAGAAGAGGGTAGAAGTGAAAATAAAGGCATTAGATGTTACAAGGCTTTGAGTATGAACTCTTTGTATTAATATATGGTCTTCCCCATTACAAGTAAATCATTTATAAGGCCTGACAGGTAAAGTCAAGCCTTATTTAACGAATGTTATCGAGAATGGGAACATCATCATGACCTTGAAATGAAGATAGGCAAATGTGCTGACTGCTTTCCAGATACGTTTCTTCATCAACTGAAAAACATAAGTGAATGGAAGGGAATCCTCCTCTTTTACCAAGAATCAACGAATACTATTTTCCCTGTTGTGCCCAACACTGGTGAGTCTTCCTGTCCTTTCCTCTCTTCTCCCTATTACTCATGATCAATGCATAACTCCTTTAGATTTACCACTGTTCCATAGAAAATGCTTCATAGAATGGTTCCTTTACTTGGAGTCACTATGAGAATGATTAGTCTGCAATGGTAGTAGGCACATTTTATCAAGGCAATGTTTAGCTACGAAAGCCAACTGTTTTTTCTGCCTTTTGAAGATTCAGGTGGGGTATTCAAAAAAAGAAATGGGAGTCTAAGTGAATTAGAGGAAATGTGTTTATCTTTGCATTAGAAGAAAGGAGGAGGATTATACAGTCGCCAAATATTCACGAAGTGAAATGAGATCTGCCTGTGCACTGTATTTTGTGGGCAAATATATATCATCATGTCACAGATAAGAGGTGACAGAAATGCACTCGCAAAGGACCAATTTAGCCAGACAAATACACATGAGGTTACCCCATTGTTCTTCATCGCAAAAGAGGCATTTCATCATCATGATCTGATTACTCCTACACTTCTTCTTTGTAAGGTTATCTTGCCATTGGCCTTGGCATTGATTCAGTTGTTTTAGATTTCCCGTTGCAATATTTTCGAAATATGCAGGATATCAGACTGGAGATGATACTGGTAGTAAAGTAGTGATGAAATCCATTATTATCACTGATGTTACTCGAAATTGTGATTTCAATAGTCAGTTTCGGTTCCCGATTTCGACTTAGGACAAAGAAAATAATTGCGTGGGAATGAAGCATTTTGACCGCCAGTTTTAGTTGCGATCTATATTGATAATGTACGAAATAGTGTTTCTTTGAGCCTTACTATCCTGGCTGGTCGTTCGACTGTGACTGGCTCCCAAACATGAACATTCTACAAAACGTTCTACCTGGGATCAAAGAATTTTGAAACATTCTTTTCCAGCGCATGAGGAGGTACATACTTGATATGTACAGGGTGATTCAAAATGATGTATAGACACTTCGAGTTGTTGTATCTCAAAAGTATTATTGATTAAACAAAAACCAAAAATGGTTTTACATGCATTAAATATGTGGAAATGTGATGCACAGAAGAAGTTAGGTCAGATGTTCAAAATGTCCACCATTGGCACGCATGCACAAACAGCATCGTTTCTTAATAGCCCGACATACAGTGGTGCATATGTCAACTGTGAATTTATAATTCCTGTTGCATCATTTCCCACAAATTCTGCACGGTTTCTGGTTTATAGCTGTACACTTTGTCTTTGAGGTATCTCCACACAATGAAATCTAGAGGGCTGAGTTCTGGAGATCATTGGGGGTATTCATGGGCGTTCCCCTGGCGACCTATCCATCTTTCAGGAAATTTCAGAAACCGTGCAGAATATGTGGGAGATGATACAACAGGAATCACTTAAAATCACAGTTGACATGTGCGTCACTGTATGTCGGGCTGTTATGAAACGTTGACGTTTGTGCATGCATACCAGTGGTGGACATTTTGAACATCTGACCTAACTTTTTCTGTGCGTCACATTTCCACATATCTCATGCATGTAAAACCATGTTTGGTTTTTGTTTAATCCATAAACCTTTTGAGATACAGCAACTCGAAGTGTTTATGCACAATTTTGAACCACGCTGTATATTAGATCAATGGACAAACTGGTAGGTCAGGCACTTATATGTTCGGATACTGCTAGAAACCATGACATAGCCATAATCCTGACCCCTAGTTTTATCAAGAAAAGGGATTGAATGAAATTAATCTTGTATGGCAATTCTAAATATGGCATGTTTGTCCAAGGAATACGCTATCACACACAATGGGGATTGGAGGCGAAATTCCAAATATGAATCACAAGGAAAGGAAGGTTTTGGGGCTCCTCTTGGAAAGTGTAACATATTGGTTTTTCACAGCGAATTCGGGCATGAGAAATGCAAGTGCGGGATGAAATTTTAAATAGAAGTTACAGCATTAGAACATTATATTGCTCCAAAATTACAGGAAAGAGAGGCAGGATGAATTTCTACCGGATAGTTCAGAACGGATTTTCGATTAATATTTGTTTCTCATTTTCTTATTCAATCCAATGCGGTAGCCATGACTTCGCATATTTAATAACTATTCCCTACCATAAAGGGTTTTTATCACAAAGGATTATGCTTAGGTCATATGGTGACGTATCCAATTGCGTCCCCTGTGGTCATCGGCGTCACTACGTTGGTTTCGATCGGTACAATGAGGTAGGTCGAGAGGTAGAAGCCTAAAAAGTGTTACGCTGTATATTCTGACATATTTCACATTTACTTGAACGAGAATCTGGTGATCTTTCACGGTAACCAGGAAACACTATCATGGGAGGACCGACCTTGCCGTCCATGATCTGATGCATAATCCTTTTTTTAAGTTCATGAGCTCACCAGAAATGACTCAACAAGTGTAATTCATGTGACATTCATTGGAATGCAAATAAAATTGTCATTAGACATGGGAACTTTCCAGAAGTATGTGTCCTGAATTTCCCGAGTTTCCATGGTCTCAGAACGATAAGAAGAACGATAACATTTAAATGTTTACAATCCACCCGGCCCGACCCAATACGAAAGAAGGATCTTAAAAATTCGCCCCTAGACGGCCTACAGTTCAGGTCAGGGAAATCGGGCTGGGCCACAGCCTCTGCATGGCTGTAGACCTCAGTTCCTCCAATAGTGAAAACGACAGCTGTTTTAACCTCAGAAATGTGATATTCTTTCTTCTCTCTCTGGAATGAAACACGGGTCAACAGAGGGGCATTGTTTACTCAATTCTAGAAAGTCATAATATTGTTGACAACACGCGTAAAAATAGCCTGTTTGCAAGTATGTGCGCTTTTGTTTGTGTGTTTTCATGCATACAGTATTTGTATGATTATTATTTCACTCTTAACGGAAACTTCAAATAAATATGCAAATTGCAGCATGCGAGAATACCTCTCTTAGGATCGATAGTGTGGTAACGATAACGAAGAGCAAAATAATTATCGATTAACGAATTTCAAGTCTTAGTTGTGCGACTAAATGAGAACTGTTAGACGTGGAGGTACTTGACTGGCGAAAGCTAAAGGACAAAGATTGTTGCTTCCACGAATTCTCTCGGGATAATGATCCTCTCGGGATCATTATCAACAAGAGCCATGGGCAAACACTCAAAAGAATTGGATTTTACTTTCCCGAACCGGTAATTTTCCATAAACAATTGTGTTTTGCTTTCTCAAGAGTACAGCGCTAGGAAAACGTTAACGATTATGATAGAGCTTGGACTCCGATAAGGCCGATACCAGGGCAACGATGATAACTACACACTGAATATCGTGTCCTGAGAGGTATTTGTATTAGAAATACAGTAAAAATGTTACAAGTAATATTTTAATTTATTTTTGAAATGTATGTGTTCTTCAATAAAAATGAAGGGACGAAATTTCTATACCTACTGTTCTATGTTTGAGTTAAAAACACTTCTTAACACATTCACTGCCGTTCCCGTCACTTGAGCGGTACGAATTGACCGCGCGCAAGTGACATTCCCATTATATGACAGGTCGATGCCGATGTTAACATAATTACCATTTTTTCCTTCAGATGTCACTCAAATGAAATTAAACGTTTACGGTAGTAGAAAGCTAGTAGAAACTTCAAAGATTCTATATATGTATGGATATGCGATCGTTTTTCAACTATTTTTTTCCTTTTCCGTTTTGAATTTACATGTTTAGCACGTGGTCTGTTGTTTGCAAAGATGGTTGCGATCGCGAGTGCATTGTTCTTTGGATGAAAGTTAGATTGTAGATGAAATACATGCGGACATTGTTTCCGAAGATGAAATGTTATTCGGTGCGAGTTATGGTGAAGGTATGGTGAAAATTTCACATTAACCCATTCATTAGTTTAAAAGTTATGGTAGTTCAAAGGAAAATAAGTTGAAATCGTTCATCCTAAAAAATGGCTGGCTCAGGGAGAGAAATCCCTGTAGGTAGACCTGGCAGTGAATGTGTTAATACCATATTCCTGTGAATGTGTTAATACCATATGCGTTAATATCATACCTTCAGGTTATTCAGTATTTGTGGCAAAATTTGGAAAGCGCTACATTGTCATTTCGCGCAATTTGCTTGGGGCTCTGCTAGTATTCTTACATTTCTGGAAATGTGTCCCAAAAAAATTCGCTCAGAGAGGATGAAACTCAAAATTAAAATATGATCGAAATCAGTTGCTAGAGAATTCCTTGGCTCCGACATTTTTTCTGCTTCAATGGAAATTTAACAAATTTCCTTTAAAAATACGTTCAACTCGAAAATTATGCCCTGAGGGGATACATCATATAACTAAAAGTATCATTAAATAGGAATGCCATACTCGAGTGCTAAATTTTGCTTTTCTCTATTTCCCTATTTCGTTGATTAAAAACAGTATTCCTCCCGCCACCAAAGGATGTGCTCAGAGGGGATATACCTTAAAAGTAATTTTTTTTTAGCTCGTGACTCCCATTTGCTACCATATTTAAGGTCTCTAAATCTTCCCACTTCGCTGGTTTCAGTTTTATATGTTTCAGCTTTCCAAATCTCTCTATTTGACCAAAGCAAAAAATTTCTTTTGAAAAGGTGACCCTCTTTGTCCCTTCATTAATGATCTCCCCACATCATTTCCAGCCCTGCTTCTCTTTCTGTCTCTAGGGCGGATGTGGATGTTTGTGAATAAGCTTCCTCCAGTGCATGGACCCTACAGTGTCCCTTCAACCCTAAAGAAACTTTCCTTCAAGGGGAAGATAGATGTGGAGTGGATGTCCCATACAGTTCCTCTCTTGTGGGCCCTGGAATGGGACCAAAAGGAAATAGGTCCTCTCAGCTACGGTGAGGAGGGACATGGTGTTTCTTAGCTCCTCCAGCTTCTTCATCTCTATATCTTAGTGATTTAGTTATAAAATAATCCAAGAGTGTATCTATTGTGCTTATGGGACTACTCTGCTAAAAAATGTACTCCAAATATAATGTGTTTTTCTTTTACTTTTTCAGCCATGAGTATAGTACGGAAGATTTTCAGCTTCAAATGGCAATAGGATAAAAATCACTAACCGTTTTAAGTTGGTGGCAAGTCTTGTGTATATTTCAACTGATTAAGCCTTGCCTTGCTCGATGAAAGGATCATGAACAGACTGACTCGAAGGAGATTTAAAGTCCCTGCTATTAGTTGCATGCAGACCTCATCGTGCAAACCTGCATTGATGCACACAAAGGAAAATCGTCTTATATACGAGATCTTCTCATAAAATGACTGATTCATTGAAAATGAATCGTTATTAAGCCTATTTTAATTGGCCATAACTTTTCAAGGGAAGTCAGATGCAGGTAATATGTGGCGAAAAAGATTTATCAGTCCGAGAGGCTTCTTTTCCCTACCTAAGTAATGACAAGCACATACAGAACACTCAACCCCTGCTCAAAGAGGTTATTCGACTTTCAATACGCACCAACCTTTCGGACAATTTCTTACACTCCTCATGAAGTCAACTTGGAAATTGAATCATCTTCTCTACATACTCTGGGCCAGAGTTTTCTGGGGACTCCTTGGATAGGGGTACTTCAAGAGCGATTTATTGGAAAATTCAAATTTCCTCTGTGGTGTCTGTGTGGGGAAAAGATCCGGCTCCTCAAGGGAAGTGGCCAGACTATTTATAGCTGGTACATTGGTGTCATCCAGCGTTGATTGTGTTAACATTTGTTTCTAGCCACTGTCAGCTGAATAGCACAGTCATGCTCAAGAAAAGCGCCTCCTTAACGTTCAACGAACATTTTTCAAGAACTTTATGTATTAGTGATCAAACGGCACCTTAAATTGAGCGTCCAAAAGCTGCTCTTATCTGAACCTTGAACGTCAAAGAACTTCTTTTAGCCGGGGTCGAGCATACTTCTGAATTTTCTTGTGTTACTTGGGTGGATGTAGAATTTTTCGTTCTCTCCACACGCATCTCCGGCGCAGAGGAGGAACTGCTCATCAGATATCGGAGAGAGATCTGCGCTTGAGAAAGGACTCTCACTCGCACCCTAAGTTTGGGGTACTATCATTCCCAAATTAATAACGGTTGTACTTCCGATCATAATAATTAGTCAAGCGATAGCCTGTGATCCCAGTGACAGGAGCAGAGTTTACCTGGGACGAATACAACCCTTTCATACTGTTTGGCAATATTCAACTTACGTCCTGGAAGAACGTTCAGGGAACACAACATTTTGACCTTTTCTTTATCGCTCAAAATTCCGGATATTTGAATAGTCAAAGAACGTTCCCGAGGACGTTCATGGAACATTGACAACACATGAAGTTAAACGTTCATTGAACATTCTTTAAAGGTTCCGGTGCTACTTGGGTATTAGTGATCGAACAGCACCTTAACTCAGTGCCCAAAAGCTGCCTATCCATGAACATTGGACGTTTTAAATCCTCCCTTGAACTTAGTTGAGCGTTCTCGAGAACGTCTGGGAGCTACATCGGGAAGGTGTTGACCGCCTAATCAGCAATCAAGGGTGCATGACATGACTAATCTTTCTGTGCAATTAAGCCTAAATCATTTTCACCGTTTACTTCACTGCTCATCAAACCATGTATGTACATTTTTCATTTTCTTCCTGTTCTCAGTAGCATCAATTTCACTCTTCAGCGACTTCATGTAGGCACAAGCTTTTCAGTCCATTCCCTAATTTCAATCTAGGACGAGGATTAAAGACATGTGCTTCAAGTTCCTATTATGGGATTGGTTCCTTAGAAAAATTCTATACATTATGTATTAGGAGTATGTTGGGCATTACGTTTGTCATTCTATAAAGCACATCCAGGAGTATTCGTCGCCTTTTTAAAATCGGCAATAGAACATTTCTGTGCAAGTTCTATATTGGGGATTTTTGGGGTAAATTTTCCCATATTTCATCATTTCCTGAAATTCATTTTTGTTTTCATTAACCATTCCCTGAAAAGGATCTATGCTGTGTGGTGTGGAGTGAAAAGTTCCTCCCCTCCAAACTTCTTGCCCCCCACCAGTGTGGATGATTTCATCCTCTGCACCACCAGTGACGTAGCTAGGATGAAAGTTATATACATAATTTTCAAATTCATTTCTAGCTTCTTATGGTCATGCAACTGTCATATCTAAACACCAAAAACGGATGTGACAGACACTAATGAATAATTAATGTGCCTTTGTCTTTGCAGAGGAGCTGCAGAAGCACGTGAATAAACTGCATAACGAATCGGACGCTTCATCTGAAAGAGTAAGTCTTTGGTTCAAGTCGCGATTCAGGAGTTGCAAAAATGACAAAGTAAAGTCAGCCCTTGATGAAGGCAGACCTCAAGTGTAGCGTTCTTCTAGACCTACCAGTATATCTGCCAGTTCCTGACTTTTTGGAAGAGGTATTTGACGGCGCTATGCTAAAGGGAGGACGCAAGAATGCATTGTACTTCATCACAGAATTCTCCCATTCATCATTCCACAAACTCGCTTCTTTCTGATGGCTGCCTTCATGGCGATACGGTGACTCAGTCGCGCACCCACGAACCAGAGGCAAGAAACATTTTAATTCAGGGCATCAGAGAGAGTTTGTGGAGCATCTTTCGGGAGTTTCAATGAAATGAGGAAAGTGGTAACATCAATTACGTATAATAAATAACGAGTGCTAGGGGAATGGAATTTGAACCTCATCCAATACTATTTACGGTAGCGTTATTTCCATCCTGACTCCACATATGAGCTCAACATTATTTCGATTGATTCCGACCCTCCTTCTCCTGACGCAGATTGGAATATGCTTCCGAGGAATGATTTCTGGTTACAGGAATCTCGACGGAAAAGCAGATGGGGTGCGGTAGCTTTTTACTTCCTCCCTCCATACTTTTAACGTTGAAAAATACCATTTTAATACCAATAATACCATTATGGTCTTTCCACGGAAGCTTTCTGCAACATCCCTGTAACTGGTGGGAATCGCAAGACTATGATTCGGATTGCTACAAGACTAGTTTATTCTGGAGACAAAATGGTAGAGAAAGTAACGCCAAACAGGTCAAGGAAATTCTCTGGGTCGATTAGGTGGAAGATGGTGAAAGAAATTACAAGTTTCAATGATGGGCAAATCGCTCGCTACGTCTTGAAAAAAAAAAGGAGGAACTGTACACTGCCTGATGCAAAGTCAAATCGGTATGAACTGCCCAGATTGGGACAATGATGAGCGGGAGTCTGGTAATTTAAAATCGTGAAGCTGCTGGAAACTATGAAATCACTCATGTTACGTCCTGTTACACGTACATTAGAATCAACACAAAAGGAAAGATTGAGAGAATGTGCGTTGAGATCTTCAAGAAAAATCGAAGGGACGCCTTATGAATTAATGCATTCGTGATCGGAAGGAGAAGGAGGAAGTACTGTAGAAGTGGGAAATAGGCGCGGACGATTGTAAGAGTGGTAAGTCTGGAAATGTACACGGACTACAATTATTGCATTTAATAACTTCGTGCCACCTTCGATTGACTAATTCAGAATCGAAATCACTCAGGACATTCAATGCTGAGCCCCTTGATACGGTCTGGAAGGGAAGCAGAGCTCGTAACTATAGCGATTCCTGATTAGTGATACCTCACTTTTTTTATTTAATCAGGCAAATAATACGAGGCTTTACTTGCTCGAGATCATGAAGAATTTCGGGCCGCTTGCCTTAGAGGGCCTTACAGTTTAAATGAAGGATGGAGACCGAGGTTTGTCGCGTCGTTGATTAAGAAGAGAGGTGGGGTTAGTCAGGGATGGAGCAGAGAGGGTGAGGGAAGGAGGAAGGGGATGCCATACACCTGAAGGACAAGGAATGCGCCAAGCAGCTGCTGCAGAGTGATTTGCAGCACGGTGTCGCGCTCGACGGATGCACACTTGGCAGAAAAGACGGATGCGGGAGCGGAGGCGACGACGGGAACTGCGGCAGCGGCATACGCGGGCTCGTTTGCTGGAGTGACAGAAGTGACTGAGAGCGAGCTTGTCGACGTCGCGGCTGCGGCCTGAGATTTTGGCGCAATGCCTCCCACAGGCGAGCAAGAGGCGGAGCGGGGACGAGTACGTAGCTGTCCTAGGCGGGGAGGGGGGAGGGGGGGCCGCAGGTAGTTTAGCAGGGGCTTGAAGGTTTCAAGATTTACTTGCTTTCTTAGATCCAGTGAATCTTTTTTGCTAGAAGAGGGCCGTCAAATATGGGGTCACTGGTGATCTATCGCCGTCTTTCCTGCCGTTTGGGGCAGGCGGTGGGGTTCGCCATGTGGGTGCCTAGGCATTGGTAGCATTCTACCTAGACATTGGTAGGCCTGTCAGGCCAAGCAGAGTTCATTCTGCTTGGCCTGACAGATCTTCTGAGAGCAACCCTTACCTGCTTAGTACTCGGGTATGTTTGTGATATGCCCTTGATAAAATGCTGCTTCGCAAATTGGCTGTGGCTTGTATTAAAGGCACGCATCAATCGGACGGAGTTGAGCAAGGCTTTAGAAAATAAAGGCGTCATAAAATGGGCCGACGAGAGATACGGCGTCTCCAGAGACCTGACGGCGGAAGTGGCATGCTGTGGAGACGATGGAGGGCTGGATGCCTGAGTCGCGCATTTTCCTATGAACGGACTGATCGATCCGACAGAGGACGCGCGGAAAAGCGGCCTATCGGGAGAACTCGTATGGAAAGGGAATGTCTGTCTAGAGGGTTCCTGGTAATAGAAATTGTTACCAGGTAGGGTTCTTCTGTTATCCTTGTTGTTGTACGTCTTCAGAGACAAGCAAAGATGTAGACCGTAAATCGACCCATGAACACGAAGGAGACTGGGTGGCATTTGACTTGGTGGCATTTGACTTTAGGCTGTTATCTCTGACAGGATCAGCGTCATTCGAGCAGCACCACTTAGATTAGGACCTCACTAGTATCAAAATTTTAGAAAATCCTGATAGCAGGGAATTTATTGATGTATGAGACCGTGCAGTCTATTGCCATCCATACATGACCGTGAATCTCCTCCTCACAATTTCCTCCCAACAATCATAGAACGGCTTCACAGTTCCAAAATGGCGGCTGCCAGCAGTGTCAGCATATTACGAGTTCGCTGGCTGCGCTGGCTCATAAGTTTGTTCGACTAGTTGCATAAAACATTGCATGAGCATATAATTAGGATCAATGCAGTCATGAAGAATGCCAAGGGAATTTCCTGGCCTACTACCTGGCATGCAAATTTCCTCGGAGGTGCTCATAAAATTCAAACCAGGACGTCTGGTCGCCCTAATCAATATTGAGAACAAAACAGAATAGGCTTAGCCTTTGGCCAAACTTTATGAACTCGTGCAATATACTTTTGTAAGAAACTTTGTAAAACTAAGCCAGGACTTCTTCAAATCAGATGCTGTCTGACACCCAAAATGTGAACAGCTGCCACCACCAGAGACATGGTAAATATAACTAGAATGGACAGGCCAATGGGGAACGCGCCGCAGCCGCACGCTGATTAAAAGTGGCGGCCGCCATCGCTCATGTCGTCAAGTCGCTGAGTCCAAGAAATTCGGTAATTGCGGGCTCTCTCAGGATGGTGAAGTGAAGGGAGGGTACCAAAAAGGACTGTGGAATGATGCTACCTGGGGGGTTTCCATCTAATTGCCCAGATGTATCCATTGAATTATTTTATTTAAATTAAATCTAATGTCCTTTTCTCTTGATGGCGTTCATAGACATAGGAAAAACTGTAATACGGACACAGGACACAGGTGTTAAGAGGTGGCACATTGGCCGGAACTCTACTGTGGGATCCTCCAGTAGGCAGACAATCGTAACAAAGTACTAATACGCAACCCAAAATCGCAAAAATTTTGAGATTAGTTGAAGGAAATTGAGCTTTGAGCGATTAGCCTGTCATCGCATGCTATAACTATCATATTATAAATACCACAAAGTCGGTTAGATGAGCTTTTTTCTCAGCCGAGAAAAAGAAAAAAGAGAGGCGGAAAGGACAAATGAGAAAGTAATTGGGAAGTATTTTCATAATTCTGAAAGAGATGCACAGCATGAACCCTGTCAATAGCCTCGTTCAAGCATGGGTTCCCTCTTATTTTCGACTTTCGTAACCGCATCTCCCATTCTCGTGCTGGCGGGCGTATGGAATAATGACACTCAACACTTAACTTCAATTTTGAATGATGAGTAAATTCGCGACATGTTTGATAAGACAATACGTAACGTCCAAGTGCAGCAAATGTAGATTGGTCGACTGCAAGAAATGGATTAAAGAAGTCTCCTGCAGCAGTGCAAAACAAAATGAAACTTCACAAGGAAGAGTTACCATGAAGTTTGTCATAAAAACCAAAAAAGAAAGTACTGAGAGAAGAGAGCGTTACGATGCATGGCAAGCAGAGCACGAGAAAGCTCAGCAGGACGGGAATGACTGAACAGTCCTCCCCATTCCTGGAAATTTGCGCCCTACGGGTAGAATTCAGATCTTGGCACCCCCTTGGTATCTTTTTGTGCCTAAACACTTCCATCATTCCCAGTATGCCGGGCAAGCCGAGTTTTTCTTGTGCCTGAACGCGGCTAATGTTAAACGTCTCTCACACGTCCAGATCGGCCAAGCCTAACCTGCCAGACAAGATGCAGACTGCAAACAGAAATAATAATTTCACCTCAACCTGTTTCTCTCCCTTCCACTCATCTCAATCACCCCACCCCCCTCCCCAATGCCTCTCCCTGGGTCCCCCATCCCCTGCCTAAAAGAAAAAGAAAATGTAAAAGGAACTTCTGCATGAGGAGGAGGAGCTGAGCAGCAGAGCCCCAGGCGAGGTGGAGTGCTATACAATGAAGGGCTCTGAAGGAGGAGGAGCCAGGGGAGGGGAAACCTAGTATAGGAACAAGGTGCCTATAATGAAATAGGCGAGTCAGGGGTCTAGTAAGTAGTCTAGTCAGGAGGGATGTCAGCTTTAATGACAGAGGAACCAGGTTTGAATCCTAGGTAGGACATGTTCTCCGGGCATAATATGGACATAGAACGAAGATGTATGAAAACAATGCCCCGTAATGATGATGAATAACATCTGTCTTACAGGTGCCTGATGAAGGGGTTGAGAAGAGAGAGAGACGAGAGAAGAGAAGGGAGGAGATCTCTTCTCAGATGGCGATGGAAGATCAAGTAGTCTTATCCCAATCACAGTCAACACGGGTACTCATGACTTATATTTCTTGAAAATTATGATAGGGGAGAGTGAGTTCCATATGTCCGCATCACCATTTAAAGCGAAATCATCGTAAGTAGAATTGAATCTTAACAATTTCTAACTTTACTCCTGAAAACTAAAATCTTGCAGTCATGGCATTCCTTTTTTCTTATAGGCAGTACATTCTAATGTAATGTTGAAGAAGTGTGTAAATATTGATTCTGAATGCTCTCATTGAAGCGGGAAATTCATTTTGCACTCGGATGTGCAGAGGGTAAATATGACCACAAGCAATTCATAATCTCATTAGAGAGATAGAGTAAGGTACTCAGGTATCAGGTGAAGGAGCGGAGATGCTTCACATCCTCAGAGACCCCCAGTTTCACTTCATAACAATTTTCAGTGAGTTATCTCATAGAATTCTTGAGGGATAATGTTTGAATTTCAGACTGCCACGCTTTGGAGCAATAATAGGGGATGCGTTATGTCTACAGAGAACCTTCAATTGCATGTAAGCAAATTTTAAACAAGTTGCGCCTTGTAGCATTGAAGTGAGACACGTCGTTCCAATTTCGAACTCTGATATGGATTGGATATTATTTTGAGGTGCGCACTGCTCGGCCCGACCGACTTGGCTGGCTATCAAGTTTCATGTTGGGTGCAGACGAATACGCCATCTGTTATCCAGCCTCATTCCGTCAGCGCTCAGCGCGATCACGTCAGTAATCCCTTGAACACACACCCGTATGTGTCATGGAGACACACAACCGATACACAAAACGCTCACGGTTTGCTCACGGTGAGTGCTCCCAGGGGAAAAGTAGAGCATTTAAGTAGAGAACTTAAGCAGAAAGAAAATTTTTATTTTTACGAATTTCCGTATGACGGACAGTGTGTGTTCAAGGGGTTAAATGACGTCACTCCCGGACAAGCAACTGCCAACGGTGTAGCGATTGTCACCAAATATGCGGCGAAAAATGCTCGCTATATAGTGGGATCAGATCTCAGGTGATTGGTTATAACTAGGGCTGTCACGATAGCAGTTTTCAAAACATCGATGCATCGATCTGAACTATCGATAGTGTATCGATGCATCGGGGGGGGGGGAGGATTCCATCTTTTCTCTCCGCGATCGGAGCGCGTACCACTATTCTGCTTCCATTATCTCACGCTTGTGATCGGGGGTGCAGGGGGAATGTGTGACTTTCGCAAAGAGTAATGAAACCTACCATGCCTCCAACTATCGAAGATGACATCCATTCATCGATGGATGCATCAGGACAGCCCTAATTTTTTCCTATTGCCGTTGAGAATCAGCTGCCATGCCCCGTTCATGTAATTTTTTTTTCATCTTTCTCTTCGTTCTACAATGTCTTTGGACATCGGTACCATCAGATAGGAAACCTGCTGATGGTGCTATACCGGCGGTTGCCGTAACATCGGCCCTAGAATAAGCAACGTCCATGTAAAAATTTCACTTTGAGTTCACCTTAAGTGAATGAATGCCCCAGGGCAAGTTAAAAATTAAGGAAGTTAAGCCTGCATACTAAAGTGATAGACAGGAATATTGAGAGGGGATTAACCAATGTAGGTTTCGAAATCAAAGGAGTATAAGAACAGTCCATTTCGGCAGCATGCACCTGATGAGATAGAGCGGAAGACAGAAACATAAGAAAAAATATATATTCTCGGTCTTCCCCCTCTCCTTTCCCACTTCCTGTGTCTGATCCGACGTTTTTTCCCTTCCAGTCTTTCTTATTGTCAAGCCCTAGCATTTTCAGAATTTGATTGTGATAAGAAATCGCAAGCCCATGCGTGTCACGCCGCTTCTTCCTTTTCCGCCTGGACGGACTGAATTGTACTGTACTCGCCTCAATCCAATGGGACATTTCCCCTTTAAAATACTTTGCCGATGCATCGCGATAGTCGGAAAAACTATCGATATATCCAACTATCGATAGTGGTATCGATGCATCGATCTATCGTGACAGCCGTAGTCATAACTGACGGGAAACAGAAAGTCTGCGTGTTCGTTTTGCATGGAATATGGGGGATCATAGAATCCGCTGAGCACGGCAGAAGCGTCTTAGTCTCTCTTTCGTTCTGTTGACTCCTTGACAATTAATTCCTTACAGGAATTCCTTACTAAGGCAAAGTTTACAAATTCGCATGATTTATTGCACAACCAATGGGGGAAATATATGATGGAAAGGAAGGAAAAAGGGAAAACTTCCTCATGTTGGTAGGGATCTCAAAAGCAGTTCAGCACCATGACTTGCAAGCAATCCATTGGGGTACGAACTATTTAACAGAGAACCGGATGATTGAGTAACTCCGACAACCCACTGCCCACCGCCAGTTGCCCGATCGTCGACGAGTGTGTAAAGGAGAAATAGACATATTTTGTCACTCAGTGTGGGAACTGCAGTCGTTACATAACAGCAAGGCACGAGGAATCCACAGCGGAACTTAGTGAACTATGAAAGCATTGAACAGGCCAGCAATCATGTGACGTCATGGGATAGAAGAAAGGGTAAGCAGAGCCACTTGGGAAAAGGATGAACCTCGAGTCCTGAAGCTTAGAGGCCTAAGCGGGCCGGCCCAATACGACCATGGGGATGGGTGACGTAAAAGCTCTGTCCGCCGATCGAGTTTCGGGTCAGGGACCACGATTCGAGTCGGGCCGATGGGGTCGGTTTCGAAAAAGTTCCCCAGTGCAGGCCTTCAGTGGACAGACTGGAGGACGTCGGCTATTATTATATGTAGTACTAACAACCCCTGAAACATTCACGTCTTCGAATATGATGTTAATTGACTTCTGTTCCATAACTCACGAACTAAAACACAGAGCAGAAATTTCTGATCGATAAAATTTGGTGCGTCCCATCATTCACCCCACCCCCAACACTTCCCCAAATTGCCTATATACCAAAATTTCAATCAGGGTGGGGCATCGAGGGTCGACGGCGCGCTCCCCGTAGATGGCAGCAACCAGAGGGGATTAAAGAGAAATGAAGAGAACCCCCGCGAGTGACAATGTCGTTCTTCAGTACCGAAATACTGTACTTTTTTCCGGGCACCCTGTATATGACAGCCCTCCAGCCAGGCCACTCACCGTGTGCTGTGCGGCTGGGCCATCACAGTATTATTTTGAGCCATCCATGGATGCGAATCAGCTCGATTGGACCATCCCGTCTCGCGGATCGGGCGGGCAATTAGGCAATCAAGTTTCCTGTTGGGTTAGCACTATCAGAGGGGCCTTTCTCTCTAGGCACTTACAGCTGGTGGGAAATGGACACCTTGTTTCGTCAGCACTCGACGATCACGTCATTAAATGACGTCGATATTGCGTAAGCAGCTACCAATGGTAATGTAGAGAAATATGAGAACATTGAACTGTCACGAATGTGACGTCATAGGATAGCTGGAAGTGTCAGCAGAGCCAGTAGAGTCCCTTAGAAGGAAGGCGTACCCAGAGACCTCGAGTTTTGAAGTTTAGAGGCCTAAGCGCGCTGCGGGCTAGCTCGTTAGGCTTGACACGACCCGTGGGTTGACTGAGATTGAGTTTTGGGTCGGGTGTAGTCGCGATTTGAGCCGGTCCGATCGGGTCGGGCTCGATAACAATCCGTGCAGGGCTCCGGCGGACAGACAGGCAGGCAGTAGGTTATTATTAAAAACATGGGACATTTCTTATTTTGTTTCGAGTTTTTGATGAGCTAAACAAGGTAACATGGGAACATTGGAGGCGCCCGATATTATTTTTGGCTGAAGTTAAAAATGCGAACTACTACATAAAGTCATAATTTCCTGCAAAGTTCACTCACCATTTGTTTGGCAGTGTCTTAATTATAGACGGTGCTGATGGGGCAAAAGGGGTGACAGTGAGGGGGCAATATGGGGGAAGTATATTGGCTCTAAATATATGTTTTCTTTTGGCCGGAATGTCCATTACAATGGTGAGGCTCAGGTTGATGAGATGTGTTACTGTTCAGATTCTTTCTCTCGCTCACAACCCAGTGAACGTTGGGAATTCGGCTCATGACAGCTGTTCAGGCATCGATGACGATCGGATGAGGACGGGTTTTTCTGTGACTTCTCTAAATTTTCATCTATGATGAATACATGGATAACAATTTGAAAGAGTTATAATTATTTTGCCATTAAAGTTTCTTTGTTGTTTCCGTTCTGTGGCCTTAGTCTCTAGATGAAAAAGCCGACGTTGAATCAATCTGGTCACTGTGACTAACATAACTCCGCTCTTTTTAATTGCTGCATTGTTCCCTTTAGAATGTTTGGTCTTGAATGGAGATTGCTCTGTCGATGTTCGAAGACCTCGAAATACCAATCCATGAACGCGCCACCCGGATAAATTATTCGAGTACTGACTCATATTTATTACGGTATACTTACCAGGAACGTGTTGCATACAGCATTCTTTTTTTCCTCATTTTTCTTCTCCCGTTGTTAGATGTTCCCATGTGCCTTATAAAAAAGTCTCCATCCTTCCGCTTTGAAACGCAATGCCTTCATAACTTCCGCAATTTCAGCAATTCGATCTTCGATTCCGCAACACTTCAGCAATTCGATCTATATTAGCGTCCGAAAGAAACTTTGCAAGGTAATTTAGGGCTCGCACACGTAGCAGGACTTGCAATGACATTATATCTGCCTTTTGCTGTCATGACATCGTGCGAAAATTATTAGCGTATACTCACCAACCTTTCAGTGCTGTGCACGTGCCACATCAGGAAAATGGCTAATTAGATTTCTCAATGTAAAGTTCAGCTTTTCCGAGATAAAAATTGGCTGATTCCGCTGTGTATGCCCTACCGTCTCCAAAACATGAGATCTTAAGGTTCATGCAGCATCAAGTGGACTGGGTGATTAAAACTCTCCAAGAGGGTGCAACGCAACATAGAGTTGCGCCCACTTTGACCCTCTTGGAACGAACTGTCAGGACACTTCATCTTGATCACTTGTAGCGATTCTGAAAGTCATGTGTTTCGTCAATTATGATGAAATGATCAAATCCGGCATAGGCCACACGAGAACATCTGAATCGGGAATTGCGGGAATTCCCGCTGCGGGTTCGGGTGGAAATAAGATCAAAAGTATATTTCTCTTTTCATTCATCCAACAACAGTATGGGATCATGGTCGCTGGGGTGGGGAGGGGGGGGGGTTAGAGGTCCGTCCTAGGGCTGAGATTCCTGGTTGGAGATCGACGGTCGGTCTTGCTCGATGGTGGTGGTCTTACTATTGAAGAGAAGAGGGTGGTTTGGAAAATCAGTGGGTGGGATGACTCATGTCCAGTAATTGTCGTGCTTGGGTTGGGCATGGCCTTTCAGGGTTTAGGTCAAACCTGATTCGTACCAGAGGTCCTTGTTGGGTAAGGTCCGGTGTTCCGCTTTCTGCCTTTTTTTTGGAGTTCAATGACCTTTATTTATATAGCATTCGTTTTTACAAAAGGGTAGAGTAAGGTGAGGTAGTATATACATAGAAGAGTGAAGAGAAATAGCTGAGTTGCTGCAGGTGTTGATAGACACATGCGGAAAGCTGTAAGAGTGTAGAGGATTTAGTGGGTTGAGTTGCTCTGCAGCCAGCCACAGGGTGGTGTCGGACCAGGGGTCACTAGGAGTGAAGAATTTTCAATACACATGATCATTGTATCACGTGATTTTCTAGTTTATGTTTTTTGTGGTTGAGAAACCCTTTTTTCCATACTTTCTTGCTTTTGATTATAATTTTTTTCATTTAAATATTTTTCTTTCATTCATATATTATTTATTCTTTATTTTCTTTGCTTCATTATTATTTTTTTCATTTATTATTTTTTTCCCCGAATGCCTGTAACGTGCAGCTGGAATATAGGTATTGATAAAGCAATGGTTCATTCCTATTTGCTTGCATTAGTATACTTCAGTTAGGATATGAAGGAATAACTTAGCTTCAGGAGTTGGTTTTGAGGCAGATTGTCTGCGGGTGAGATGTTCGTTGTGGTGTAACTCTGGTCCACCAGGCTGTCCGAAGTGGCACCTAGTCTGCAGGACAACACCTTGTGAGAGAGAGAGGGGTGCTTGAGTAACAGGTGTGGGCATATGGCAGATCCAGCTTCTGAAAAGGGAAGGAAGACCTAACAGTAAAAGGTGTCACAGGCCAGGGGGCGAGTTAGTCCTGACCATCCTCCATGCAGCAGGTTAAGTTATAGACCAGGTAAGTTCATATTCTTTCATGCTTCTTGAAACCAATTTTTTTTATTAGTAGTGGACCAAATCAGGCTTATATCATCAGATGTTTTCACATCAAAGTACTTGAGTGCAAGGTTTGAGGTGTACTGCAGGAGAGGTTCTATATTGAACTGGTGGTAAATATACTTTTTAGAGACAAAGTAAGGGAGCCTGAGGGCATACCTTATGGCAGCTGTTTCAACACTCTGGAGACTCAAAAAAGCAGTCAGAGCAGTTGGCCCAGGCCGCATGGCCATAGGTGATTATTGGCCTTATAAATGTCTTATACAAGTGTAGTACAGTAGCTGGATTGCATCTGTTGGTCCCACTGATTATCTTAAGACAGTTAAGTTTACGTTTAGCTTTACATTTTACATGTTGGATGTGTTTAGTCCAGTAGAAGTTACTCTGGAATGTGAGACCAAGGAATTGTACACTAGGGGAGTAGGGTATGACTTGGCCACCAAGTGTTAAGCTTGGGGGATAGAGAAACTTCTTAAAGGAGGAGGGCAGTGGACTTGGTGGGATTCATTGAGATTCTCCATTTACTGCTATAGTAGTGGATGCAATCCAGGGTTAGAGATGGAATTTTGCCCATCCTTGCTCTCAAGTTACCTCAGATCCAGATAGCCATATCGTCTGCAAATTGGGAGATGGAGGGGAGATCATTTACATACAGGAGAATGAGGAGGGGGGCAAGAACTGAACCTTAAGGGGGACTCCTGCAGAGATTGAAAATGATTGAGAGGTTGCTTCTTCTACTCTTACTTTAAGAGTGCAGTCACTAAGGTAGGATTCAACAAAAGCAACCAAGTCAAGGGGAGGTTATAGCTAAATTTGAGCTTGTAAAGTAGCCCCCTGTGCCAAACTCTATCAATGCCTTCTCTACAGCAAAGAAAAGTGCAAGTAATGGGAAGTTATTGTTTGCTGCATTTTTGCAGAGGGTCCGAAGTACACTTGCCATGATGAAAGCTGGCCTTAGCTGCATGGAGGATGCCTTTACTCTCTAGAGAAGATGCTAGCCTGACAGTAATTATTCTGTCTTGCCCAGGACACTAAGTAGGCTAATGGGCCAGTAGGAAAAGGGTTTACTTAAATCTTTGTCCAGCTTTTGGATCATTGCAACTAAAGCTGCCTTCCATGCTGGAGGAAAGTATCTGTATTTAGGCAAGAGTTCAACAGGCAAGAGAACAAGGAGCTCAAAAAGTTTAAAGGTTACTTTCTGAAGGGCTTTTTCCATCTACAGTCATGAGAACTTCATGGGGGTTCATTGTACTCTACTTTGGAGGGAGAGTAGGAGCTATTTAGATATAATTCCTGTTCTTCCTCTGAGGCTTCAAGGGGGAGACAAGAGGTCATGGTGGCTCCCAGGGAGGCTGCAAAAACATCAGCGTTTCCCTTGGAGGTTGTGGTTGTAATATTTTCATAGTGGAGGGGCCTAGAGGAGTTGCTGTTAGGTCTATCTTTTAGTCTTTTGAATAACTTCCAAAAGCTTTTAGGGTCAGTCTCTTCATCTAGGAAGTTATATTTATCCCAGTAAGTGTCAGAATCTAGTTTGAGCTGGGAAGAAATTTCTTGATTAAGGTTACTGAAAACTTTCTTGAGACAAGGAGCTTTAGTTAAATGAAACTTACACCTAGTGGCCCTGACTTCCTTAATTAAGGAAAGGGTGGTTTGGGAGATGGAGTAGGGTCTGGAGGTTTTGGCAGTCAGGATGGGGATGGCATCATCCTGGGCCATCTGGATAGCCTCAGTGATAACTTGGGTTGCCTCAGAGACATCATCAGTTGAAGAGATGGAGAGGGAGTCAGGGAGACAAGTGTCCAGGGTGAGCTGAAAGCAGTTCCAGTCAGCCCTACGAAAGTCAGGGGTAGTCCGGGGTGTTGGTGAAAGTCAACTGTCAAAATGATGGACAGGTGGTCTGAGCCCAGGTCCTTCCCTATGGAACAGTTCCTGATGTAAGGAAGGATGAATGAGTTCACTGGGGTCAAGTCAAGTCTGTATGAGGGAGAGTCAGCAGAAGAGTACCAACAGTGAGTTGGGTCAGGGTTGCTAAGAAGGGAAAAGTCAGTTGTCCAGAAAGGAGGAGACGAGTATCCATGGAGGTTCATCACATCACAGAAGGATAGAAAGGGACTGTGAGCGTTCATGTCACCTATGAAAATAGAGGTTCCTGGGGATGGCATAGTAGGAGGTCAATGTTGGGTTGGAGGCAGAAGAAGTGAAACATGCTGAGCTTTTTATCTTTTAGCATTATTTTAACACCAATAATCTCTATTTTAAGAGGCTGAGGAGGCTTGAGGGAGTAGATGTGGAGGATGGTCAGGGAGCACGCAGGGCATCATTCAAGATTGACAAGAAAAAAAAATTACATTATAACCAGGAGACGGTTACCCACAACACACAGGTCCAATCCACACTCGTACATCATGAAAAGGCACTTGCTTAGACAGGTTATTGGGAGCAGGGAGGGGCTTGGATCAGGGTAGAGGCAGTGGATGAGGGAGTGGTTGTGGAATGTTGGGGGATGGAGGGGGTTGGATTTTGGGTTGGGTGGGGGTGGAGGATGTTAGGGGTAGGGGGAGAGGTAGAGTGTGAGAGTTTCTGTGCAAGGTAACCCATGTGGGAGGCTATAATAGGGCTGGCACATGAGTCAGCTTGGTGACTGCCTTTGGTAAGTAATGCACTTCCTGACTCCCAGTGCACAGTTAGGGCAGGATGCAGCTGGATGCTCGCCTGCACACCCTACACAACTTATCTTCCTCGTGCACTTGGCCTGCGTGTGGTCGTACTGGTGGCACCAGATGTATTGCAGCATCCACGGCCTGACCTGAAAAGTTTCAGCCCCATAACTGAGGGGCCCTATCGCTAAGTAGCCTTCTTCTCAAGGCTGACCACAACATTTCATCGGCCTTGGTCTCAAGGAGGGGACAGTTGAGGCCTTCTTCATGCGGAAGAACTGCACCACCTCATAGCCGTGCTCTTTAAGCTCAGAGGTGAGGTACTCTGGTCCAGAGGACCTCTTGGCTTACCCCCTTGACCACGAACTTTCATGTGTCGGAAAAGATAATGGCCAAACCTGGCGGCTTGGCCAGTCCCCAAGTTCCACTCCTAGAGCACCTTGCTTGCAGCTCCAGTGGTGGCCACGCTTAGTGCAAAATCCCCCCTGGAATGGTGCAACTTGGTGAAGGAGAATTTAAAGTGTTCCTTAAAAGCATGTTGGAACTTTGGTGGGGTTAGAAATTGGTCTTTCAGGCCATGTAGCACTACCAGGAAATTGTACTTGGGGAGGGGAGGCCTATTAGGGTTGAGTGAGAATAAGTATGGGGATTTTGGGGTTTTCTTTGGCCTTTGAACTGGCCACCATTCAAGGTGTCTACTTCAATTAGGTGTCCTTGATTGAAGCTGGAGTCGGGTGAGGTTGTAGAGCTTGATGTGGAAGAAGAGGAAGGTGAGGGTGGAGCGAGGGTGGAGCCTCATAAGAAACCACCCGAAAATTGTTCCTGCCTGTGTCCCTGATACGGAAAGGGCATGTCTGTGATCTGATTCGATTGGTCACTCTCCTTATGGGGCATGGAGAAAGGAAAAAAAAAGGAAGAGATGACTGTAGGTATCCCATATGGTAATTACTGCCCACCATAGTTCCTGCAAAACTGTAGAAGCTTTGGAGAATGCAATTGTCTACATCATTTCCATATCACCCATTGCTTGAGGAACAGAATTCAAGACACTTGGACTTCAACTGTTTCATGGAGACCCTTCATATGGCAAATTTGGGACATACTCATTTAAATTATCTACATATAGAGCGATATATTATCTACATATATATCTGAGTTGAACTGAACATGCTGTAAAGGCTGTTACTGGGCTGAGTATATCATGCTAGCTGATGCTCTTTACTGTTGATGCACCAGTGATGATGACCCCCTTGAAGCCTACAGATGTCTAGGAATGGAAGGAACAGGAACGGAGAGAGAATGCAACTTTAGCTAGCTAACTTAACCTAAACTCATCCCCTTATGTTATGGATTGTTATGGATAACAGGATTATCCTGTTATCACTGTAACAGGACTGAATGGCTTAATCAATACCTATTAATCCCATACATATATTTTTATAGAAGCTAACTCAGCAAAGAACTGGTTCATCATGGCCATCCTCAAAACATTTAATTTTTAAACAATTTTTTTGTTTAAACAAAAGCCACTAGCCACTGTCATCAGCCACTAGCCCCTATGCCCCTTGTGGGCGTCAGACATCTTGGCTTGGCTGACACCTAGGGAGTCATGCACATACTGCGGCTACATAGGACGGCTCATAGAGAGCTCTTCCCATGCATATAGGGCAGCCCAGACCAGGTCAAATCACACCACTCAGCAGGAGCAGTGAGATATAGCGGGTGTTTCATCATCATTATTAGCAAACATCTGAGCTCTATTGAATAAAAATTATCTTGGCGATGTTCTTTGGAACCTTAGGTCTTATATAATAACAGTTAAAATTCTGAAACTCTCTTCCCAGGAGGGGGAGGAGGAGGAAGGGGAGGAGCCAGGTCAGGCCAGCCAGCCAGTCAGTCAATTTATATAGAAGCGAGGTGAGAGGATACTTTCGGGTGGGAGGCAGTGGCATAGGAGGGAGCGAGCTCAGCTTGAACGACAGAGGACCAGGGTTCGAAACCATAGCCAGAGGGGATAGGCAAGGGGAAAAGATAGGGGGCAAGCTGAGCACAGGGACAGGGAGAGGTGAGTGAGGGGGAGAGGGAGGGGGAGAAGAGGGTAGGCAGGTAGGTAGGTAGGTAGGTGGGTGGGGGGGTCAGGGTCAGAGATGGGTCCACTTGGAGCCATGGGTGAAGGGGCATCCCTTCAGCAATGAAGGGATGCATATCCGAGTGGACCCATCTCAACCTGATGTCAGAAATGGGTCCACTTGGAGCCATGGGTGAAGGGGCATCCCTTCAGCAATGAAGGGATGCATATCCGAGTGGACCCATCTCAACCTGACCAGTTGAGATAGTGGGTGGGAGGGTTTTTATCAATGTTTCTCATGAGATTCTTTCTCTTACCAGGTTAAGATTCTCTCACGATCTGATCTGGAGAAGAACATGGAGAAAAACAAGAATAAGCTGATTCTCCTCCACATCTATTCACACACAAAGAAAGGGGAAGTGGAGAATATGGAGAGGAGAATTGTTGAGAAAATCAGTCATGCAATATTCCTGGATGCTGATTTGGATGAAGATTGGACAATGGACTTCTTCTGGACAAAAGAAGGCAAAAAAAGGAGCAAATACTTCCTTGTCGTGTTTTCACCAACCAAAGTGGATTTTGATGCCATTCATAGTCTTTTTTCCCAATGGGGTATAACCCCATTGGGGTATACCCAAATGGGTCCTTCTGGACCCATTTGGGGTGTACCCGAATGGGTACACCATACGGTGGTATATGGTATCAGAGTGAAGTGATCACAAAGTGAAAGTGTGAAAAACATTGCCTGGAAATGGAAATGTTCGTATTTGGATTTTTTATTTAATCCATTGGGGAAAAAATTCAAAAAGTATTTAAGACATTAATTTATTAACTACAAGATACAAAGAGGAAAAGATACAAAAATCATTGTAGATACAAAAAATCATGAAGGTTAATAAATAGACTTCCACAATCAGGCTCTCTTTCTCCAGCACTTGGAATCATGCTGAATGAATACCATTGAAATCTTTCATTTTGGAAACTGGAAGGACAATTGCTGGTGACTTCCATGTTAGAGTGTTCTTATCAGAATATATTCTTATATCCTTTCAATTTCAATTCCAGAGGAGGGTAGAGAAACATTGTGAGATCAGGTGTTCATCTTGGAAAGCAAAGCCTGTCTTAGCAACATGATGTACCTCATGTATACCCCAGAAGCATACCACAAGCAACAATTGTCTAGAGACAATTCCTGCAGACCAGTAATCTGGTATTGGTAAAAGAAATTGGAGATATCTAATCTTTATTTTTTGGAATACAAATACAAATTTTGTTCTGGCCCCTGCAAAACTGAAGTTTTGGAGAAGCCCACACAGGAAAAATCTTTGCATCAACTGCAGAGTCATGCCTTGCAGATTTGAGTGCATAACCTTGGTGGTTAGGTATATATTTTTCTTACTCCAGGAGAATGGGTCAAAAGAACTTATATTGCTACTTTACCCATTATTGCCTCTTAGAGTATATGAAAAAGTTGCCTAATTTAGTCAAACTACCCTCATTTCATGGAAAATCTCATGCCTGTAAGTGTGGGCATTCTTTGGAATTACCAGCTTAAGTTACTTTTCTTTCCAATGTTAAAGGACACAAAAAGCTGAAGCTGATCTTGTAGAGCTGAGCTCAGGATCGTTTGGGATGACAAATTGCCATAGGATAAAATGCAAGCATTAAAAGTGAGAACAATGGATCTGGTCTGGTCATTTGGATGTCATGAAGCAAAATTGGAAGCCTGTGCCTTGGCACTAAATCCTCTAAGAGTGCTAGGTCATTTGATAGTGACTAGCAATACATAAATCAATGGTGGTGATTAGCTTTGATTAGTTTCGGCCTCTTTCATGAAAGTATCTGTTGACTCTATCTTGCCAGCTCATATGCCTTTCCACAAAGATATGGTTTTGTCGGTAATTTCTGGTAAACTTCCACTGCTGGTCCATATTCTAAGAACACAGTATGCTATTCTCATTTGGTTTGGAACCATGAAAGAGGTGCAATGCCTTTTATTTCCTGAAATAATCTGAAATTCAAACCATTGAATTATTTCATTTTGGAAACTGCAACCATTAACAAACTGGAAGGGTGATCACTTGTGACTTCTGGGTTATCAGAGGCATATACACATGCATCCTGTCAATTTTCATCCCATAGGCATGCTCATGAATATTTATGGTGTGGGAAAGGGATAGCACTTTTTGCATATTCACAATTACATCCCCTTACATTCCTTGGAGGAAATAGATGAGGAGTGCTTGGATGGAAAGTGAAGTATTATTGAGCAGAAACTCTCCACTTCCCGTCCTTATCTCTCAATCAAGCCCATCGCCATTGAAGATATAGTTCATATGGGGAAGGAACAGACCTACTTTATCTCACCATGCAATGTGCAAGAATTGCGGGAGTCTCCTTCAGCTATGTTATGTCTCTCAACAAATCAATTAATTAGAATGACGTCATTCCTTGGTTTGTACGTGGGAAATTATCGAGTAGAGGATGAAAAGGCAGAACATTCGTTAGCATTTTTGGAATCGAGACATACAGCGCGACCTCGCTTATATTATGGGAAGTTTATATTTCTTGAATGAACTGCTAGATGTCAGGTCAGATGGAAGGCCTCGACGGGGTGGGGATTCCAACCAAGGACATCCAATGGAAGACCATAGGAAGTTGTCCTTGGAAGTTCCATTGCTGGACGTCCAATGGATGCCCAAAGAAGGACTGACACATCTATAAATTAAGTGAAGTTATTGGGTTGCGACCTAAGATGGGAGATTAGAAGAGAAAAAAAGAACAAAATAAATATCACGATCGGATCCTCTTAACACCGTTCCATAAAACCTTCATTCAATGAGATGGAAATAATTGAGTGTTCAATGTAGGGAAATTCTGCTAGAATAAAGCTCAGAATGCATGAGAATATTTCGATCCATGGCGATGGCATCCTATATATTGAATACATTCACACCACTGGACTTATATCCATCTCTGGACAACTGGACTATCCATGGATGAGTTTTGGATCACCCTACTTGGGACTCCATGAAAATGAGAAAAAAGCAACACGAGTATATGAATGCCAAAATATAATTAAACAAAAACAAACATATATAACTATGATAATTCTCAAAATTCAACATAAAAAAAAAATATGAGGACCAACAAAAGTGTCACTATATAAAGTTTTCTGGGGACTTAATGAATGGCTGTACAAAAAAGGGTTGTACCCTTGAATCAAACAAAAAATGTTTCTTCTGAGAGGATTTTCCATAAACATCTTCCTCCATTCCAGTCTCGGGAGAATCAAAGAGTTCCTCACAACACTACTTATTTCCTTCTTGGTCAATGTCAGCTTCTTTGCAGCAACTTGAAGAGGAAAAGGAGTACAAAAAATTCAAGGATAATGGAAATAGAATCCATATATTAGTTTCAAAATCAAATCTCAGTATGCTAGGAATTAACTATGAATATAACCCTAGCAGCAAATAAGCAAGTAAAAAAATAAATTCTGATGGAAAACATTCATATCATACATGGCACCTTTCTGACTTTATGTCATTACACTGGAAAATTGGGGGAGAGGGGGAAAGTCAATTAAAATTCAATGACTGAGCCCCTTCCTTACTGATATTCTTGAATGCATTCAGGAAATAGCTGGAATTAAATTGCATAAATTGTAATGACCCCTTGGAAAATATCACAGTATGATATATGTCATATTTTCCAGTTATGAGACATGGATGGGAAACAGCCTATTGTTTACCAACCTGTGATCGACTTGCAGATCATTATTTCCTTGAAGCACTTCTTTCCCTTCTTTCCAAGAAAATAATATTCCTGGGCTACTTCCTTCCTAATAAGGGCCTTCACCATGTGGATTATGGTCTCCTTACCATCTTTGCCTCCAATACCATGCAAGTATGAAACCTATGGCATGAACACAAAATAGAAAGTTGATACTCTGAACATAGTTTTTCAGAAGGAATGTTAATATTGATGCATAACGCCAGGAGTGCACAACATACAGCCTGTTTGGGGCCTGCAGTGACTGGTGGCGTTGCAAGTGCCACTATGGCTCCTGCCCTTTTGGCTACAGCAATGGTCAGCCATACTGTGGCCTGTGGTAGGTGAGTAAAAATCAGAAATGGCCCTCTCAATAATTTGAGTTGTGCACCCCTGTTTTAGGCTATTGCTAGCAACAAAAAAAATTGATTGGCATCATAGGTTCGATGGGTGAACCAATGCAAGAAGTCTCCTGATATCTTAAGTGATCTAATCATCAGTATGAGGCCAGGAGATATTTCACTAGGCAACTTGGCACCAAGGATGAACATTGGGCACAGAAACTATGAGAAAAAAGAATGAACATACTAGCCATTCCATTTTTTGAACATTTTGGATACTCCAGGAATGGTGCTGTGTCCCATGGGGGAGGCAGAAATAGGGAGGTGCTTCAGCACAAAAAATGAAAGGGGAGATATCCCATGTGGGATAAACATCCCAGGTAGCCATGGTTGACCCAAAACTTGTCCATGGACAGTCCTGTTGTCCAGAGATGGATATAAGTCCAGAGGCGATTACAGGTGTGGTAATGCAAAATGCAATTTCCTTGAAACCTTTGCACCTCCATAACTTGCACAAAAATCAATGAATCTGAAAAAGCATACGCGAGTTTGTGCATTTCTTCTTGCTCTATATTTGTGGGAATTTTCATTAAATTATCCATTTGCGTTACCCAGGAAAGTAGAAAAAACCACACTCAAACAGCCTCGTTTGTCCCGTGTCTAACTTCAGGCCCATTTTTCTTGAGAACTATCGAGAATGAGAAAAAACAATCTTAAACAAACTTTTAGAGACACTTCTTGGGAATTTCATCCCCAAATATCAAATGCCTGTGTAAGTTCATTTTTTATTAGTATCGATTTGAACAAACCCAGGTTATGAAGGTCTGGGGATCTTTGTCACATTTCACTACTCCTCTCCCACCCTTCAAATGATTCTTTGAAATCGCACTGCTTATCTGTAATGGGAGTGTCTGAGAAGTGATTTGACATATGCATCATATGTCCATTGCCATGAAGTTCTGAATAAGAATGGTTTATCATGAAATGGATGGCAATTCCAGCATAGCAGACATCCTCGCACTCCCCTTCCTCGCGAAGCCCCTCCCCTCTTCTCCCTTCCTGCATATGCATGCGGGCACATCACTTTCGCCTGCATGACCTTGGCTCCACTTCACTCCCCTTGCCTTTCCAATGTTTCCTTCCTCATAATCAAATCTGGAGCTGCTTCTCCTCTGCAAGTGTCAGCATTGCCTTTGCTCAATGCAATTGAGATCACATTTTGACCCAAGAAAAATGGTTTCACTCCCCTTGCCTTTCCAATGTTTCCTTCCTCATAATCAAATCTGGAGCTGCTTCTCCTCTGCAAGTGTCAGCATTGCCTTTGCTCAATGCAATTGAGATCACATTTTGACCCAAGAAAAATGGCAAATGGTCAATAATAATAGTCAAAAAGGAAGAAATGCATGTCGTGGATCAGGTGTTTAATGCCTGTGCCAAAGCCATTTTTACATGACTTTATATAAGAAAAGAGATCATAATCTGAACACAGTTCAATAATTCTATCTTTAAAATTTTCAATAGTAAATCCTGCAACTTTCACAATAATAGCCAGAGGAAGAAGTCAAAATATACAAGCTGAGAGCATAATATGTAATAATGTTCAGAGACATTCATAAGTTGTCTTAGAATGAAACTAATAAATCCTGCTCTGCTTTACTTGGTAATGACTAGGATGCATCTCATGGCAAGGTTTCCTGGTTGGCATAATGAATACTTCACATTGCCCCTGGACTATGAGGTAAAAACAAAGCTGTTTAAAGTATACATAGTAGAATATGCTATGCTGCCATATAAAAATTCACCTGCTTCATGCTGCCAGAGCTTATAAATTATTTTCTGAAAATGTCTTCAAAGATCATGTTTTTCTCAATGAATATTATTTCTGGAACTTCAACATGATGTTTCTTCACTCAGATGTGACCGTTATTAATATATTTTCTGCTTCCAGTGGGATGTTCCCACAAAGAACAGCGTCATCTACTTCGAGATGCTGTTCTTAGGGAAACTCATCATCATCCTCCACCTGACCATAATCATGCTTGAAGGATTGCTGTTTTACCCACTGTTTCCACTCTTCATTTTCCTCCACTTGAGCCCGCTTCATCATCACCCTGTACTTTTTCTTTCCTTCCATATTTTGACTCTCTAGAATGTTATTTCTAACCTCTAGCATCTTCTGTACATTCCTGAGCATGCCCTGTCACTGGAATGGCCATTCTATAGAGTTCATGGCAGAGGCATAACTAGGGTCTCCTGTGCCCAGGGGCAAGTTACAAAATCTGTGCCCCCAGGCCCAGCCAAATGTAGTACGGGGGATAGGGTGGAAACCCAAGCATACTACACATGCATTTAAGAGCATTTGGCATATTTCATAATATTATTATTTTTTCATTAATTTCGTTAATTAGTATCCTATTACTAGAACTGTTATTAATAGGGGAACTTTGAGAATCTATCACAACAGATGACACTCACCCCATGTCAAAATTTAATATATTTTTGGGTTTTTAGTGCCTTTCATATAAATGTTGTATCATCTAAAAAAAAGTTATAACTTAATTTACTATCTTGATTATGGTCATTGTTAATTATTAATTGAATTGAAATTAAATTACATTTTCTAACATAAAACATTTTCACAGACCATGAAAATGTTGGAAACACTGAGCTGTCAACTGAAAATACAAATGACAAATAAATCCCATAGCACTGTGAAAGTTGCTAAAAGCAGATGGTGGGCCAAAAAAAACAACAAAGCTATCATTTTCGGTGAGTGGTCATTCTGATTGTAGACTGCCAATTCTGATGAAATTTGGTATGCACATAGTGTGACTCAATTGGGGTTTGCATGTGTAGTATGCTTGGGTTTCCACCCTATCCCCCGTACTACATTTGGCTGGGCCTGGGGGCACAGATTTTGTAACTTGCCCCTGGGCACAGGAGACCCTAGTTATGCCTCTGCCATGAACTCTATAGAATGGCCATTCCAGTGACAGGGCATGCTCAGGAATGTACAGAAGATGCTAGAGGTTAGAAATAGCATTCTAGAGAGTCAAANCTTTCACCTGCATGACCTTGGCTCCACTTCACTCCCCTTGCCTTTCCAATGTTTCCTTCCTCATAATCAAATCTGGAGCTGCTTCTCCTCTGCAAGTGTCAGCATTGCCTTTGCTCAATGCAATTGAGATCACATTTTGACCCAAGAAAAATGGTGAATGGTCAATAATAATAGTCAAAAAGGAAGAAATGCATGTCATGGATCAGGTGTTTAATGCCTGTGCCAAAGCCATTTTTACATGACTTTATATAAGAAAAGAGATCATAATCTGAACACAGTTCAATAATTCTATCTTTAAAATTTTCAATAGTAAATCCTGCAACTTTCACAATAATAGACAGAGGGAGAAGTCAAAATATACAAGCTGAGAGCATAATATGTAATAATGTTCAGAGACATTCATAAGTTGTCTTAGAATGAAACTAATAAATCCTGCTCTGCTTTACTTGGTAATGACTAGGATGCATCTCATGGCAAGGTTTCCTGGTTGGCATAATGAATACTTCACACATTGCCCCTGGACTGTGAGGTAAAAACAAAGCTGTTTAAAGTATGCATAGTAGAATATGCTATGCTGCCATATAAAAATTCACCTGCTTCATGCTGCCAGAGCTTATAAATTATTTTCTGAAAATGTCTTCAAAGATCATGTTTTTCTCAATGAGTATTACTTCTGGAACTTCAACATGATGTTTCTTCACTCAGTTGTGACCGTTATGAATATATTTTCTGCTTCCAGTGAGATGTTCCCACAAAGAACAGTGTCATCTACTTCGAGATGCTGTTCTTCGGGAAACTCATCATCATCCTCCACCTGACCATAATCATGCTTGAAGGATTGCTGTTTTACCCACTGTTTCCACTCTTCATTTTCCTCCACTTGAGCCCACTTCATCATCACCCTGTACTTTTTCTTTCCTTCCATATTTTGACTCTCTAGAATGCTATTTCTAACCTCTAGCATCTTCTGTACATTCCTGAGCATGCCCTGTCACTGGAATGGCCATTCTATAGAGTTCATGGCAGAGGCATAACTAGGGTCTCCTGTGCCCAGGGGCAAGTTACAAAATCTGTGCCCCCAGGCCCAGCCAAATGTAGTACGGGGGATAGGGTGGAAACCCAAGCATACTACACATGCATTTAAGAGCATTTGGCATATTTCATAATATTATTATTTTTTCATTAATTTCGTTAATTAGTATCCTATTACTAGAACTGTTATTAATAGGGGAACTTTGAGAATCTATCACAACAGATGACACTCACCCCATGTCAAAATTTAATATATTTTTGGGTTTTTAGTGCCTTTCATATAAATGTTGTATCATCTAAAAAAAAGTTATAACTTAATTTACTATCTTGATTATGGTCATTGTTAATTATTAATTGAATTGAAATTAAATTACATTTTCTAACATAAAACATTTTCACAGACCATGAAAATGTTGGAAACACTGAGCTGTCAACTGAAAATACAAATGACAAATAAATCCCATAGCACTGTGAAAGTTGCTAAAAGCAGATGGTGGGCAAAAAAAAACAACAAAGCTATCATTTTCGGTGAGTGGTCATTCTGATTGTAGACTGCCGATTCTGATGAAATTTGGTATGCACATAGTGTGACTCAATTGGGGTTTGCATGCCAAATTTAAAACAAAATTTGCAAAAACTGTGAGAATGACCTTCATTTACTTTTCAAAAGTAGGAGTTCACTTTCACTTTAAACTTATAATTCCTCAAAAGTGAGAAAACAAACAAGCAAATAAACGAAACAAAAACAAAAATTCACAACTGCCAAAAACGAAAATACCTAGTTCTGCCATAAATACTGTTACAAGATTTACATGTTTCTTGCATTCTAGCAAAATAAGCTAGAATCTTGTAACCTAGTAATCCTGCAGTGTATTATCCATTGTATTGTTTGGTAACATTTTGGCTGTTGTGTTGCGTGCAGCAAACATGGAGTGGGGTGACAAAGAGAATCGCATTGCAGTGATTGCCCTGCACAAAGTGGGTAAGAAACCTGCAACCATTTTCAAGACTTTGCAGCCACTTGGAATCAGTCGGCAGTTTGTTTACCGAGCTATCAAACGTTACAATACTCAGGGAGTACGAGACCACCCTAGATCTGGACATCCACGCACTGCCAGAACACCACGAGTCATCAAAGCAGTTAGCAACAGGATTCAGCGAAATCCTCTCCGCAAGCAGAAAGTGATGGCCAGGGAGATGGCCATCTTGACTAGAAGCAAGTCTCGGTTGATTAAATCAGACCTAAGGATGGGTGTTTACCGAAGAAGCACAGGATGCATGCTGACTCCATCTCTGAAAGAAAGCGGGAGTGTTGCTGCAGAGGTACGCACAAAACAGACACCAGACAATCCTCTTTACTGATGAGAAAATCTTCACAATTGAAGAAAAATTCAACTGGCAAATGACCAAGTGTATGCCCACAGCTCTCGGGAAGCTGCCGAAGTCATCCATAAGGTGGAGAGGTCACCATCCAGAATCTGTCATGGTTTGGTGGGGGGTGAGCTATGAGGGTGTCACCAAGCTGCATTTTTGCGAGCAAGGAGTGAAGACATCGGCCAAGGTGTACCAAGATGTCTTAGAGAAGACAGGGAAGCCTCTCAGCTAAACAATGTTCCATGGGGGCAACTGGATCTTCCAGCAAGACTCTGCACCTGCTCACAAGGCTATGACAACGTAGGAGTGGCTAATCAACAATGTCCCTGAGTTCATCAAGGCCTCAGATTGGCCATCTGGGAGTCCCGACTTGAACCCACTGGACTACAAACTATGGGCACAGTTGGAGCTTATGGCCTGCCACAGAAGACATCCAAATACTGAAAGTCTCAATCGAGCCCTTGCAAAATCAGCAGCCAATATCTCAATGGACATGGTATGTACTGCGATCGATGAGTGGCCTGAGCGTTTAAAGTCATGTGTGAAGGGCAGGGGTGGACGTTTTGAATAATGTTTCTGTAATGTTAGTAATTATGTAGGGAAATAAATGATGTTAGTGAATACAGCATATGTTTTATATTGATAGAGTTATGACAATAAAACCTTGTAACAGTATTTATGGCAGGACTAGGTACATAATTTAGTTTAGATAGGCTCATTTCAACTGAAAAGGTGTGCAATGTTCCCTCCAATCTATTGAACACTAGCCACTAGTCTGGGATGCCACAGCTTGGTCAATAAATCTTTGTGGCAGTGCTTCTCAATCTTCCTCAAGTCTATAGCATCTGCAGGGATGGAAGGTCATGATTCGTCCTTCCTTTCATCCCGGCATCAGGGTCACATTGATATTTTCGACAGAAAATTTCATCGTGGGTCATCAGAAAATAAGTACAGCTCATATAATTTTAAAGCCAGAAGGCTGAAATTTGGCATAAAAACTCCAATGGATTCACCCTATAAGCCTACCAAAGTTTAAGTGGAATCAGCAGCGTACAATGTGATTGATGACTTATCAAAAATGACAGCTGTTTTTTAGGCTCACCCTGTTTGAACTGATGTGGTTGAGACGCTTTCAAAAAGTAGGTTAGGTTAGCGTAACCTACTTTCTTAGTAGGTTAACACGAAACTGTGAAAATAATGAATGCTGGACCATTGTTGGGACCCTGAGGCCGAGGGGGCACTAAATTAAGGAATAGGGACCAAAGTTACCAAACTTTTTTGTTTCAGTGGGCTGCTAAGTCGTAAACTATATTATTATTCATACATTATTTTAAATGATGAATTTTTAAAATCATTAATGCTGTTCACAACCTAGAAGCCCTCCAAATAAAGTCTAAGCAAAAATGTAATTTTGGGTCCCTGAGTTTGCACCCCCCCTCAGCCCTGCACCCGAGGGCAACTGTCCCCCACTGCCCCCCCCTCGCTACGCCACTGGTTCATGGAGCCAATAGTACTGATTTCCATATACTTCAGATGTCCAATTAGTCACGTTCTGTAAAATGGCAAGGTTTGTCGACACGCAATAATGTAAGCGCTCTAACTGCACAGACTTCAAACGGTAGCATATATACACATTATGAGCAGCTTCAGGTAAGTAACTATGACCTTTACTGAGTTCAGGGTGAATGTATTGATCACATTCATCCCCATGTCGGAGGCACTCAATCTGGTAGAGGGCAAGATGGAGAGGACACGTGAGAGTCATGGAAGAAGTGTAAGGTATATGTCTCCTGCAATGGGACAAGTCATCATCCTCCTTACACTTCCCACAACCACACACTTCCTGAGAATGGAATCGGCAAGTCCATAACTCTCCATCCTTGATCCAAACATGTTTACTACGAACGCGATGCAGAGTTAGATTTTCGAAGTTGCGCCAGAAAAACCTCAGGATCCTTTTCCCTATCTGCATCAACAAGGGCAGAAAAGAGGTTTACCCTTGCATAATGCATATCTGATAAACGCATCAGTCAGACAGCAGCATTGCAATTTATTGCTGTGCTTTTTCCCTATGCATTTGCACTTCAACTTTGACAGCTGAGGGAACTCCTTGATATGAATGTTGATGAAGGCTTTAGTAACCGTTTTTTGCGAGGCGTATTTTTGGAGAATGTTTGTGTGGGATCTGGCTGTATGACCGTGCAAGTTTCAACAATTTAAGTGAAGTGGTTGAGGAGATAATGGCTTTCAAAGAGGAGTGGGTCAGCTGTGACCTTTGACCCTACTTTCTGGCCATGCGGTTCACCTGAGAACCTCAGTGAGAGGCTCCAGAGACCTTCCTTGAGGTCCTCCACAACAATTACAGAACAGATTTTCCATCCAGAGAGGTCGATTTTTTGGTGTCCCTAGTACCTTAATCAGAAGAAGATATTTTAGCCACAAAGATGCACCAAAAGTCATGGTGTCATTGACCTAAGACTAAATCAACAATATTTTCTTTTTGGAGCTTCAATTTACTTCAGATAGGAAGACACCAAAAGCAGTTTATAGGATTTGGTTACAAGAGACACCACTTGATACTCATGGGCCTATGGGATATTGGGAAATATTTTGCTTTTAAAGGATCTGTGCAACAGCAATAAGAACAAGAAGGATGTCATAACGAAAATAGATAAATATAAAATGCTAACCAAGTCAGCATGAGCAGTGCAATCTGCATTCAATAGTTCTTCATAAAGTTGATGATCACCTAATGTGTTCAGGGTAATTTGCATGGGCAGGTCTTGTGTAGTAGTGGTATTACCATAGGTGATACCTCAAGAGTGCTTCATGGTTATTGATTTTTTCCCATCAAGATCACCTGCTGATTGATTTCTTTCAGCTTTCGCATTATCAACTCCTGGAAAGCTGAAATCAAGAATGAACCTGTAGTAACTTATTCTGTGCATGGCACAAGAAAACAAATGGAAATGTAAGAAAAAAGGGATGAAATTGAATAATTTCAATTATGGCCCAAATTGTTCACTTAAATTAAATTTTTTTAAATTTCTCCTGGTCATGAAAAAGTAACTCTGAGCACATAATCTTATGGAAAAACCTAATCAGCCTTCCTTCCAATTAATAATGTTCACTCACAGTATTACTCTTCCCAAAGAGAGTTCTCCACAGAGCATATAACCACAGACATTAGATTTCATTTGCATATACAGAAGAAATACATGACTGAAGGCAAACTAATGAAGACCTCTTATTTTCAAGAGCATAATACCCTTTGCTAATTCAGGAATCAATTTCTAGTTGAATGGGACTGATTTAGTAAACCATTCCATTAAAAAAAGGTAGCCTTCCACAGCTTCGTGAGAGAATATGGCTTCTTTTCTCAATCATTGCTCTGATCCTTTGCTAATTCAGGAATCAATTTCTAGTTGAATGGTAATGATTTAGTAAACCATTCCATTAAAAAAAGGTAGCCTTCCACAGCTTCGTGAGAGAATATGGCTTCTTTTCTCAATCATTGCTCTGATATTATTCAATGATCATGCAAATGATATTTAATGGGAAAGACCTCTCTATCTCTTTTAATTCAATATGCAAAATACGAGATCACTTGCAGGAGTTTCAACTGTCATAAGAAAAAAGGAGGGAGGAAGGGTCCATCCAACCTACTTCTTTTCCACTGGTAGGGGTTATTTTTGAAAGGGTATAATACTGAATGCTACTTACAAGTATAGGTTAAGTGGTCCTCCCAACACCTGCATGGAGAAGATTGAAGGGGATGGTTCACACATAATGGAGAGACTGATTGTTGTCTTCCTTGAGCCTTGCCCTCATATGAGTTGAGATATGCTGATTTGGTTCCACCTCCACAAGAAACTGGATAGGGAAAGTACTCAGTATGAAGTGGAAGAAAAGGGTTTCGTGTGAAAAAACAATTCTACACGGGGGGGTGGTTCTTGGAGGATATGGTAGGTCCCTGTTCAAAATAGTTATTGCATCTGAACTCCCACTTGATGACTCTCCAACTGATGGAACCTGCCTGTGCAAATCCTGTTTTATTTTCTGGATGAACAAAGCAACTTCTAAGTTTTTGGCATGCTTTCTTCGTCTTTCCTTTTCTTTCATTTCATCACCAGTCTCCACGCCAGATATATCCTCAGCTAGTTTTGCTTCTTTCCATGCTTGTGCCAAGCTGGCTGGAAAAGAGAAAGCAACTTCAGTTTCAAAGCTAAACCCAGATATCAAAGTAACATTAAACAACTAACTTGTAGCATACAAGATGCAATGAGAAGCACACCACTGACAGTCATCAGCCGGGAGATGATGAAGAGTCAAAGACCCATTGAGGTTTCTATCAGTCTTACATGGTGGCCAAGCTACCTCCATCTCATTTGGATTCATCCATGTTGATGAAACAACAGCAACTTCAATTTCCCCATTACTGTCTGGAAGAAACTCCACCACATAAAATGAGGGCATTGCCTGAACACTGCCTGTCATTCTTTACAGACTCTGCTCTGTGAAAGAAATAAAAATACTTGTGACAATATCTATGAAGGGAAACCCCACAGGAATGGTCTTTGTTTATTCAAAACAGTACATCAATGCAAAGACTAAGCAGAATGTAATAAAGGCATAGACACTGGACCATTCCGACAAGGAAACAGAATGCACTTCTTCACATGATTATACTCAGTAAAAAGCAGTTCACTACTCAAGTCTGAGACCAAGACAATACCTAAATTAGTTGATAGTTAAATGGACAGAATTGGGCTTTTTTTTAATCATCAGCACACTGTGAAGCATGGCAGGACCTCACCTTGAGTTCTAAATTCAACTGCTATTAGCAGGCCCAAGAAAATACTCCAACTGTATTGGCCTATGTAAGCCATTAACCACAAAAGGCAACCCTACAGAAATTTTACAATGAGTTCACAAAACCCCCATTATGACAATGACACACCTGGTATTATGACTCTAAAGGCACCTATAAATACCAGGTCACATTATTAGTAAGACCAAATAAAACTTTAGTTCTGCTGGTGTCAGAAGGACCATAAAGATTTAGCATTGAAACAGTATGTGAACTCACCGTGAAAAGACTCCAGTAACTCTATAGAACATAGACGAAGGTGTAAAGTTCACATTGTTAGCAACTCTCATATGCAGACTCATATGTTATTCCTAGGGTAACACAGGTACCTTTAGCACTGTACAATGACTTGTCACATGTCACTGTGATACAGTCAACAGATACTTTGATGAAAGAGGCCGAAACTAATCAAAGATAATCACCACTTTTGATTTATGTATTGTTAGTCACTAACAAATGACCTAGCACTCTTAGGGGATTTAGTGCCAAGGCATAGGCTTCATCTAAATCCAAATCCAAATGACCAGACCAGATCCATTGTTCTCACTTTTAATACTTGCATTTTATCCTAGGCCAATTTGTCATNCCCTTGCATAATGCATATCTGATAAAGGCATCAGTCAGACAGCAGCATTGTGATTTATTGCTGTGCCTTTTCCCTATGCATTTGCACTTCAACTTTGACAGCTGAGGGAACTCCTTGATATGAATGTTGATGAAGGCTTTAGTAACCGTATTTTGCAAGGCGTATTTTTGGAGAATGTTTGTGTGGGATCTGGCTGTATGACCGTGCAAGTTTCAGCAATTTAAGTGAATTGGTTGAGGAGATAATGGCTTTCAAAGAGGAGTGGGTCAGCTGTGACCTTTGACCCTACTTTCTGGCCATGCGGTTCACCTGAGAACCTCAGTGAGAGGCTCCAGAGACCTTCCTTGAGGTCCTCCACAACAATTACAGAACAGATTTTCCATCCAGAGAGGTCGATTTTTTGGTGTCCCTAGTACCTTAATCAGAAGAAGATATTTTAGCCACAAAGATGCACCAAAAGTCATGGTGTCATTGACCTAAGACTAAATCAACAATATTTTCTTTTTGGAGCTTCAATTTACTTCAGATAGGAAGACACCAAAAGCAGTTTATAGGATTTGGTTACAAGAGACACCACTTGATACTCATGGGCCTATGGGATATTGGGAAATATTTTGCTTTTAAAGGATCTGTGCAACAGCAATAAGAACAAGAAGGATGTCATAACGAAAATAGATAAATATAAAATGCTAACCAAGTCAGCATGAGCAGTGCAATCTGCATTCAATAGTTCTTCATAAAGTTGATGATCACCTAATGTGTTCAGGGTAATTTGCATGGGCAGGTCTTGTGTAGTAGTGGTATTACCATAGGTGATACCTCAAGAGTGCTTCATGGTTATTGATTTTTTCCCATCAAGATCACCTGCTGATTGATTTCTTTCAGCTTTCGCATTATCAACTCCTGGAAAGCTGAAATCAAGAATGAACCTGTAGTAACTTATTCTGTGCATGGCACAAGAAAACAAATGGAAATGTAAGAAAAAAGGGATGAAATTGAATAATTTCAATTATGGCCCAAATTGTTCACTTAAATTAAATTTTTTTAAATTTCTCCTGGTCATGAAAAAGTAACTCTGAGCACATAATCTTATGGAAAAACCTAATCAGCCTTCCTTCCAATTAATAATGTTCACTCACAGTATTACTCTTCCCAAAGAGAGTTCTCCACAGAGCATATAACCACAGACATTAGATTTCATTTGCATATACAGAAGAAATACATGACTGAAGGCAAACTAATGAAGACCTCTTATTTTCAAGAGCATAATACCCTTTGCTAATTCAGGAATCAATTTCTAGTTGAATGGTAATGATTTAGTAAACCATTCCATTAAAAAAAGGTAGCCTTCCACAGCTTCGTGAGAGAATATGGCTTCTTTTCTCAATCATTGCTCTAAAATTATTCAATGATCATGCAAATGTTATTTAATGGGAAAGCCCTCTCTATCTCTTTTATTAAATATGAAAAATACGAGAACCCGTGCAGGAGATTCAACTGTCATGAAAAAAAAGGAAGGAAGAAAGGGTCCATCCAACCTACTTCTTTTCCACTGGTAGGGGTTATTTTTGAAAGGGTATAATACTGAATGCTACTTACAAGTATAGGTTAAGTGGTCCTCCTGACACCTGCATGGAGAAGATTGAAGGGGATGGTTCACACATAATGGAGAGACTGATTGCTGTCTTCCTTGAGCCTTGCCCTCATATGAGTTGAGATATGCTGATTTGGTTCCACCTCCACAAGAAACTGGATAGGGATAGTACTCAGTATGAAGTGGATGAAAAGGGTTTCGTGTGAAAAAACTGGAGACTAGGGACTTGGAGAAATGAATAGAATATACTCTGAGAGAATGCAGGGGACTGAAGAAAGTCTGAAAAACCATGTGGCATCAGGTTCTCTTGTAATTCTACACAGGGGGGGGGGTATTGGAGGATATGGTAGGTCCCTGCTCAAAATAGTTACTGCATCTGAACTCCCACTTGATGACTCTCCAACTGATGGAACCTGCCTGTGCAAATCTTGTTTCACGTTCTGGATGAACACAGCAACTTCTAAGTTTTTGGCATGTTTTCTTCGTCTTTCCTTTTCTTCCATTTCATCACCAGTCTCCACACCAGATATTTCCTCAGCTAGTTTTGCTTCTTTCCATGCTTGTTCCAAGCTGGCTGGAAAAGAGAAAGCAACTTCAGTTTTAAAGCTAAACCCAGATATCAAAGTTTCATTAAACAACTAACTTGTAACATACAAGATGCAATGACAAGCATACCACTGCCAGTCATCAGCCAGGAGATGATGAAGAGTCAAATCCGTTTTTGGAAGATGTGAATTTCATTGTTTTTTTTTTCTCCCCTCCCCCTGGGAAGCCACTCCTGGGGGGTTTTCGGAGGAAAGAGACAAACCATAAGAAAGAAATTGACTCCTATATGACGAAAAATGGCTTTTTTTGCTGTTTGCGATGCTCCATTTTGCCATTTAAAAAAATGAACTTAGCTGTTGAAAGGGAAAGCAATTGAAAATTGGTTTTCACATTACTTCATAAATCCCATGATCGGATGCTGGCAATGCCATTCCATGAAACTTGGAAACTCATGAAACAGTGGAAATAATTGAGTGTACGGTGTAGGGAAATTCTGCTCGAATAAAGCTCAGAATGTATGAGAAGATACCGACCCATGGCGATGGCATCCCATGTACATCCAAAGATGACCGCCTCTGGACTTACATCTATCTCTGGACAACTGGACTGTCCATGGATGAGTTTTGGATCACCCATGGCTACTTGGGCAGTTCTGTTTTTTGTTTTCAGTTTTGAGTAGAAGACAATTGGGAATTATTCTAAGTTAGGAAGGTGATCTGACCTACAGGGTGTCCACAAAGTCGTGCATAATAGGGAAATAGTCTATTTAATGAATGAGATGAAGTCAGCTCCATCAGCCCAGATATGTTGAGCAACATTCAAGGAAACCTGCTTTTCCATTTACAAACATGTTTTGAGATTGGTGGAATGCATTTCGAACAATTGATGTAACCATCCTTACAAATGTTGTTTTCCCTATGATGCACAACTTTGTGAGCACTATGTATTCATTCCAGTGGGGTGGATTCAAAATCAGAGTAATCTCTTTCCAGGCTGCAGAGAGCATGCTAAGACGATAAGTTTTGCTTTCCAAGATGAAGATGATGGAGATGAAGATGATGGAGATGAAGATGATGGAGATGAAGATGAAGTTGTGTGACAATTGGGTGTGACAACTATGATTAAGGAATTGAGGGACTTCATTATCATTATTCATACTAGGGGAGAAGGCAGCTAGTTTATCAAGAAGTCCTTGGAGTGGAAAATATGCATCCAAGCAAGTTTCTTCAGGTGAATTTGACACTTTCTTGCTTTATGCTCCCAAATGAGCTGTCTTCTGTCAGAGGTTTAGTTTTACCATAAATATATGAATTTTCTCATTTTTGTGTCTTTAGGGTATGTATCTCCTTCCATGATGCCTCATTCTACACCTGGAGCTTCAGCTGCTAATGGTGGTGGTGCAAAAAGACCAAGGCAACAAAATTTCTCTCGGCCATCTTCCTCATCTCCTATGGAACCAATCAAGTAGTCCAAAGATATTTTGGGTGAAGTGTTGATACATTTTTTATTGTTACAGCTTGTTTCCATGGGTGTGATTTTAACTATATTTTGTTTCATGTGTATGGTTCAATCACAAATTCTAAGGAAGAGATGGCATTAGTGAGAGTATTGCAGAGATTATGGTGCTAATGTGTACACTAGTGCCACCTACATTACATTACATTTTTTGTATGATGTGTCTTTGCTGCATTGTTGGAATAAACCTGGAAGAGTATAGGGAGACTTGTGCCAACTAAGCTTTTCTATTTATCTAGGGAGTGTAAGGTGCCTTAACCACAACATATAATGGTAAGACACCTCATCCATAAAGCCCTCATTAATTGGTAAACTGAATAAGACATTTTTATCTGGCTTGGAATGTATATGAGAGCAATTTATGTGATTAATATAGAAGTTCTAAAATTTTCTATCTTAGGATTTTGCTTTTTTCTTCATCACTCCTAGGCCACCTGAAGAAACTCTTATATGTTGTCAGAAACAATTATATGGGGTTGATGCAAAGGTGCTTCACAAGTGACCTCCAAAACTTCAGTTTTGAAGGAGCCAGAACAAACCCAGGTAACGCGTTACGTTAGGCTCACGTCGGGTAAAGGTGGGAAACGTTGGCGGAACGTACATGTTGGGGAACGATGTTGGCCCAACTTGAGCATATGGTCTAAATATTTACTTATATCGTGTTCGTATGCTCCCCCCTCAAAGTCAGACTTCTCCAAAAGTCTGACTTGGAAAAGTCGGACTTGAGCTTCAGTTGCACTGCCTCTGGCTAATCCTAGTCTGACTTTCTCATATTGGAAACAAAGAGCGTACATAGATGTCACTGGAGAGGACATCAGCTGATCCACTGTGTCCCTCCCAAGGGGCGGAAACTGGCGCTGCTGTCGCGGCACTTTTTGAAGCCATATTTTTGGGGTCAAAGAGCCTGTAAAACCACGTGGTAGCCATGCCGGAGCATTTCTCTGATCCCAACCTCAGGAATCGTGGTGGATGTCCGGCCAAAGTAAAGCTTTACGAGCACACTTTTCACAAGGCAAGATAGGTATAAAATTACAGGTCTATGGTTGTGTCTCCAATGGATGAGCCTAGCTCTTCACTAACGTTACAGAGAACCTGGCCTAGGCCTTCTGTATACATGGGATCATTGGGGTAGGCCAAGCGCTCCCGGTTTTGAATAGCCGATTGTAAGCTATGCCTTTGATCGTCTTGTTTGGCCTATTTGCAAAGGACCCAAGCAAAATTATGTCCATTGGATCTAGAGGTACTTTAGGTCCACAGATCATTACCCTGCTCTTGCAGGCATAATTTGAACGTTTTGGTATTCCTTTCAATCAATATCTATGCCTAAACCCACGTTTCTTAACTACTTTGATTGAGCAAGTTTCCTTTCGTTTCGATTTAAATTCGAATTAATTTGTCTAAAGTATCGTCAATATCAAAAGATTAGTGTATGCACAATTGAGCAGAAATTATGGGGAAAAGGAAAGGGAAGTTGTCTTTGTGGGCAAAATCTGGGCTCTAGTTCACAAGCCTGGATGCAGGTTTATAGTTTAATCACCAGTGTGAAGGTCACAGGAGAGAGCTGAATGCAAGAGTGAGTTGTAGAAGGAAATTTAGCTGTTCAAAGAGAAAGAAATGGAANCAATGCCATTCCATGAAACTTGGAAACTCATGAAACAGTGGAAATAATTGAGTGTACGGTGTAGGGAAATTCTGCTTGAATAAAGCTCAGAATGTATGAGAAGATACCGACCCATGGCGATGGCATCCCATGTACATCCAAAGATGACCGCCTCTGGACTTACATCTATCTCTGGACAACTGGACTGTCCATGGATGAGTTTTGGATCACCCATGGCTACTTGGGCAGTTCTGTTTTTTGTTTTCAGTTTTGAGTAGAAGACAATTGGGAATTATTCCAAGTTAGGAAGGTGATCTGACCTACAGGGTGTCCACAAAGTCGTGCATAATAGGGAAATAGTCTATTTAATGAATGAGATGAAGTCAGCTCCATCAGCCCAGATATGTTGAGCAACATTCAAGGAAACCTGCTTTTCCATTTACAAACATGTTTTGAGATTGGTGGAATGCATTTCGAACAATTGATGTAACCATCCTTACAAATGTTGTTTTCCCTATGATGCACAACTTTGTGAACACTATGTATTCATTCCAGTGGGATGGATTCAAAATCAGAGTAATCTCTTTCCAGGCTGCAAAGAGCATGCTAAGACGATAAGTTTTGCTTTCCAAGATGAAGATGATGGAGATGAAGATGAAGTTGTGTGACAATTGGGTGTGACAACTATGATTAAGGAATTGAGAGACTTCATTATCATTATTCATACTAGGGGAGAAGGCAGATAGTTTATCAAGAAGTCCTTGGAGTGGAAAATATGCATCCAAGCAAGTTTCTTCAGGTGAATTTGACACTTTCTTGCTTTATGCTCCCAAATGATGGTCCTCTGTCAGAGGTTTAGTTTTACCATAAATATATGAATTTTCTCATCTTTGTGTCTTTAGGGTATGTATCTCCTTCCATGATGCCTCATTCTACACCTGGAGCTTCAGCTGCTAATGGTGGTGGTGCAAAAAGACCAAGGCAACAAAATTTCTCTCGGCCATCTTCCTCATCTCCTATGGAACCAATCAAGTAGTCCAAAGATATTTTGGGTGAAGTGTTGATACATTTTTTATTGTTACAGCTTGTTTCCATGGG